AGGCACATTTGATCGACGGCGCATGGGATAGGGGTTCCCTCTCTAGGAAGCACGAATTACGCAGTGCTAAGTTCAGCTAGAGTGTGCTAGCGGCGCTCCAGTTTTAGCGTATATTGATGACTTTTGATGCACGACTCCGTACACCAGTGATGTAATTCAAATGGGGGAAATTCTCCAATCTCGGCTCGATTATGGATACGCTCTACAGCATTAAATTTGGTACAGCTGCATTGAATCGGTGCTAAAGACAGCTTGAACCCTGCCCATCGTGTCTTGCCCTAGTTGCTTCGCTGAATCCGACAAGAGCCTCTTGGCTGTGTCAATAGTCGTGGTAGGTTTTGACTGGTTTCTCATGGTTGCAGTAGTCCAGCTGTAGACCGAGGCTGACATGGTCATCAGAAGGAAGCTGGAGTGAACCAAGAGCCATTAGGATGCAGGCATGATAAGAAATTAGGGGCTTAAACCTATTGAGAGCCTCCATCATGTTCGAGAAGTCCTTGTACGACCTCATTCGAGGACTTCGAAGTCACAAGGGTAACGAATCTGAGTACATCCAAGGCATCCTAAAAGAATGCCGGACCGAGGTGCGGTCTCAGGACATGGACGTCAAGGCTACAGCTTTATTGAAGCTGATCTACTTGGAAATGTTTGGGCATGAGATGTCGTGGGCGTCATTCCACGTCCTAGAAGTCATGTCTTCCAATAAGCACTTGCAGAAGCGAGTGGGCTATCTTGGAGCAGCACAAACCTTTCGATCTGATACGGAAGTGCTGATGCTTGCCACCAATCTATTGAAGAAGGACCTGTCATCTGCGTCGATACCGACAATGTCACTTCCCCTGATCACCTTGCCACACGTGATCACTTCGTCCCTAGCCCTGTCCTTACTGACCGATATCCTCCCAAGGCTTTCGCATTCTCAGCCTGTTGTCCGTAAGAAGACCGTTGTCACACTTTACCGACTTGCGCTTGTCTATCCGGAGACCCTTCGAGTGGCTTGGCCTAAAATCAAGGAGCGGTTGATGGATGCTGACGAAAATAGTAGCGTCACTGCTGCCGTTGTCAATGTCGTTTGTGAATTGGGCTGGAGAAGGCCACAGGACTTTCTGCCCCTTGCCCCGAGGCTTTTCGAATTACTCATCGAGGAAGGTAACAATTGGATGTTGATCAAGATTATTAAGCTGTTTGCGACGCTGACGCCGCTCGAACCTCGCCTAGTCAAGAAGCTGGTGCGGCCCCTCACAAACTTGATTCAGACTACGGAAGCAATGTCGCTACTCTACGAATGCATCAATGGCATCATCCAAGGAGGCATATTCAGTGCCACAGAGAACGCGGGCGAAGGCGACGAGCTTGCTGCTCTGTGTCTTGGCAAGCTTCGGGGCATGATAGTTGTCGAGAATGACCCTAATTTGAAGTATGTCGCTCTGCTTGCATTCAACAAGATCGTGGTCTCATATCCAGCACTTGTCTCAGCACAGCAAGACGTCATCATGAAATGCTTGGACGACCCAGATATCTCAATTCGAATGCAAGCACTGGAGCTGGTGTCCGGAATGGTCAGTACTGATAATGTCGCATCTATTGTAAAACGCTTGATGAAGCAGCTCCGGAGCTCTCCCATCAATGCGAACGAACTTGAAGATGATGGCCTGGACTCAACACCAATAGAGCCCATGGCTGATTCTGACGGCGAGGATCCTGCCGAGATCCTTATCGAAGACCAAAGGACTTCCGAAATGCCCCCCATACCAAACGACTACCGGAGAGAGGTCATCGCACGGATCTTAGACATGTGCGGACAGGACAAGTACTCAAATATTCCGGACTTCGAATGGTACCTTGAGATATTGGTGGAACTGATTCGGCTACTGCCCCCACGGATCTCATCTGATACAGACCTTTCGAATTCAGCTGTGGAATCTGTGCCGGGGACGAGCCTTGCAGAGCGCGTGGGGTTTCAACTCCGTGATATTGCAGTTCGTGTCAAGGATTTGCGCCCAGAAGCCTGTCGAGCAGCCGAATCTCTCATTCTGATCTCCAATCGCAGCGCGCTGTACCCACCTGTAGGATCTGGGGCTGACCCTGTGCTTGGATTCGTATCCTGGATGGTCGGCGAATACTCGGAATATCTCGTATCGCCGCAGGAGACGCTGAATGCTCTCATCCATGATTCAAGCGCAGCACTCTCGCCACAGATCTTGTGTTCTTACTTGCAAGCTATTCCTAAGGTCTTTCTACGAATTGCTGCGAAAGCCAGTGACGGGTGGAGCTTATCGGAAAGGGCCGCTATATCACTCCTGCTGGCCAGGGTGGTTGAATTTGAGGAGACCTTGTCAACCCATCCAAATCTAGATGTCCAAGAGAGAGCCGTGGAGTACTTAGAGCTCTTCCGGCTAGTCACTGAAGCTTTGTCTTCTCTACAATCGGACGACAGAGCGCCTTTGTTACTCACATCAGTAATTCCAGAGCTGTTTACTGGACTCGAGCTGAACCCTGTCGCGGCTGGTGCACAGAAGAAGATATTACCACCAGAAGAGCTCGACTTGGCGAATTCCATCAACCCAAGATTGTCTTCTCTGTTACAGCTATCACGGACAGAAGAGGATGCTGAATTTGACGACGAAGCATTCCAAGCATTCTATAATGAACGGGAAGCTGCGCCGCCGGTGAAGGCACAAAACCTCAAGGCATCAGTGCCAAAAGTTGCGGAGCAGTTATCTTACCAAGCGGCAGAAGATCCGGATATCAGCGCAAGAAGAAAGGCGGAGAAACGTGAACGGAACCGAGATGATCCGTTCTATATTGCACAAGGGAACGACGATTCAGGCCGGTCTTCGCCAATTGACATACTACGAGGCAGCAACGGGAAAGACCTGGACCTGGATGCAATTCCGATTGTAGACTTAAGACTAGACGAAATAGACATACGAGCTCCCGGAGGACAGACCGAGCCTTCGAAGCAGAAGCGCCCAAAGGCAAAGAGAAGAGTTGAAATAGCAGCTGACGAGAACTTCGACTCGGAGATACCATCTTCAGGCAACGATTCGGCACCGCGGAGCTATGAGGCGGGGCATGCCTTCCCATCTGGAAAGCCACCCAGGCCGAGGAAGAACTTGTTGCAAGTTGACTCCAGTGGCCTGCACCAGCTATCATTGATTGATGATGCTAACGCAGACCGATTTAACCTTCAGCGGAGAGAGGAGGAGGAAGCAGAGATGGCAGCGGCGTTGAAAGAGGTCGAGAGGATGAGGCTTGAAATGCAGCGTGCGGCTGAACGCGTAGAGACCGCCGAAGGAGTGGACGCTGAAGGTACAGTCGTCAAAAGAAAAAAGAAGCGTAGACCCAAAGGACAGACAGAGGATGCTCAAGGGGGTGCCGCTGCTGAACAGCCGCCAGAAGAGACTGCGGTGGTTAAGAAAAAGAAGAAGAAGAAGAAGCGGTCTGAAGAGGAAGCCATGAGGGCAGATACCTAGCATTTACAATACGATTGCTTTTGTCAGACCAAACAACCCCCTTCTTGGAGAGAGCCAGACTTATCGTTTTGGCAACGTTTGTCTCCTGTGTGAGAAATTCATACCGTAGTTATCCCACTCACCAATGCAGAGTATGCATCGGAAGCTCTCCGCAGCCCAGTACTTACCTGGAGAAAGGCTCCAAAATTGACGCGTTACTGGTCCTTAGCAAATGGACAGATGGTTTGTTATTACAAAGATCGTCAAAAGGGCAATAGGGGACCCATAATCCGATTGTCAAATAACAGGATGTTTTGGGATTTAAGACTGTATAATTCAGGTCACATTATAGTCAGGCTTAGGTTAAGCACACATTGATGGTAATTCAGACATAACTTTTAGAGAGCTTCTTCCTGCTAAGTATGGAGCAACAGAGAACTCGAAGGACATACTAACTTATAGTAGGGAGGTGGCTTGGCACAGCGGAGAACATGTGATCTCGGCGATTGTAGGGCCAACCCGCCGACCAAAAAGTTTTGGGAGACACAACTTTCATGCAGTGCGGTACTTGCGATACTAAGACGTCCCGGACTCAGCATAAGGCTCAATTGAAGTGGCCATGGCCATCAAACCGTTCGAGCAGATCTATCCCGGTCTCAATGCGGCGAATCTCAAGCCCAAAAAAGATATCAGTCCGCAAGAATGGGAGCGCAAGCAGCGGTTGAAAGAGTACCGCATAGCGGCGAGGAGGGAAAAGAGAAACAGGAAATCCGACGAGAAAAAGCAGAGGAAGCTCAACGCCACGATTTTGCGTCGCATGGTGTGATAATTCGCAAGCTTCGAAATAAATCCAATGCTGACCGATCTTCTGGTCTAGACACGGAATCCGGAGAAGTACACCAAGAACGCCGGTCGAAACAGATTACGGGCCATCGAGGCGGAGCGACGGAAGATTCAGACGTCTGCTGTTCACATGGCGCAAAGATTGGCAGCCGTCTACGATCCTTCGGGTGCCATGTTCAATGTCTCGCCTGTGGTTACATTGGAGGACGGAAGAGTGACTACGGTGGAGGCATTACAAAAGAGGAAAGAGAGGGAGGCGCAGAAAGCTGCAGAGAAACGTGGTGAGGTAGAAGCGGAGCCATCCCACGACGTTCAGACAAATGGTGTACATACTCCATCGAAAGCAGCTCTGCAGCACGGCAATATGAACAGTGATCGCATGGAGATGATAGAATCTCAGCTATCTCAGACGCCGACCCTTAGTAAGAGGCAACAAAAAAAGCAAGCCGAGTTTGCTCCGCGACCGGCTCTACCCAAACCTATCATACCTGAAGGCATTGAGATACCCTCCGACGAAGAAGAGAATTGGCTTGCACTATGGGACCTAGATGATGGGGAGTTGGAGAGGCGCGTGCTCCGGGCAAAGAAACGAGCTGCGAGGGAAAGGAAGGAGTTCAGACAATATCAGAAGTCTGGTAAAGCAGAGCGAAGGGCAGCCAGAGACGAAAAGAGAAGGGTCTATCGGGAGATCAAACAGTCATGGCAGGTGATAAGACAAGAAGAGCGGAGACGACGTCAGTTTCTCACATCCATGGAAGACGAAGAGCGAAAGAGGTTGGCTGTCCAAGTCAATGTGAAGAACCGAAAGGATGCTCTGGATGCCGCGGCAGCATTAGGGTTTACTCTTGAAAACGTTGAAGGGGTGGATGAAATTACACCGAAAACGCAGGCCATGAAAGGTCTAAACATAGATTTCAACAAGCTGGAGTATGATGGAGACGGACCCAGTGGACTGAAAATCATCGACGAAAAGGCAAAAGAGAAACCGAGAGGTAACCGAGTCGACCTCGGTGCGGTCCCAGAAGAGAGCCACACCAGCCCAGTGTTCGCGCAAAAGCACGCCTCAGGACCCAACGCCAGCGCCCTTGGCCAGCAAGACTTTGTCGGCTTCGGTGCAGACGCCCTCCAAGGCCACGAAGCTCAAGTCGTAAACTACAACCACAAAGTGCGCCGGAAGCTGCGTCGAGCCATGGAAGGTGCCAAAATCCGCCGCGAAATGCTCGTGCGCTCCAAAGCCATCGAGCACTGCGAGCAGCACGGCCTCGAAGTGCCCGCCGCGCTCAAGACCCCCGACAAGCCCATCAGCATCCGTGGCCAGCGCACCCTCCCGAGCGGTCTGCTGGAGACGGCGAAACAGGAGCGCACGCGTGCCAAAGTCGAACTGACGGAGTTCAACAAACAAGCGCGCGTGCTAAGGAAACAGGCCAAGGAGATGGCAGTCGAGGCGGGGATACGCGTCTATCTGGAGCTGATGGGGCGGATACCGAAGAGGGAGGGGCTGGACGAGGAGATGGCGGCCAGACAGGCGGAGAGGGATGGTCACAATGGTCCTGCGGCGGTCGAGCAGATGACGTCTATGGCGGATCTGATTGCGAGTTGGCCGATGCCGGAGGAGGGGTTGGGACAATTGGAGGGCGCGTTTGAGGAGGATGATTATGCGGCGTTCGGTGGGGAGGTTGAGGTCGCGGCGGAGGAGGATGAAGAAGAAGGGTTGGATACGTCGGAGGATTCGGCGGCTCGGCAATTGAGGCGGGAGATGGCGAGGGAGGTTCGCCAGGATGGTGGTGGGAGTAGTGAGGATGGCTCTGAGAGCAGTGGTAGCGATGATGACTCGGATGAAGACATGTCGGACGTATCATGAGGAGATCTATCTGTGGAGGGGGAAAAGAAAGGCAATGGATTCAGCATCCCTTCCATTCTAGAAATTGTTGTGCACGGTCGATAGAACACCGAAGCTCTCAATCCTCCCCCATAGCTGGCACGGTGTGGTCCGTCCAGTTCCCACCACCAAAAACCTCAATCAAAGACCTATATCATCATGCTTCGAAACCAGTGGCCTTTTGCCCCTTTTCTTGCACCCCGTAATTCCCCCCCACATGGCAATTCCACCACAGACTAGGTCTGGATCCCCTCAAGTCCCCCTCTCCTCCCCGGGCACCAGTCCCCAAATGCCAACCCATAAAACAGAACCCCAAACATTTTCACTTGAAAAGCGCAGCAACGCGCGCCACGAAGCCAGCGACAAACTCCCACGCCACGGGGAACAGCCTCAACAGCTCGAATGCCAAGCTGCCACATACCACGAAGGCTAGGAGCACTGTTGATGTCGGAGAGAAGAGAGAGAAATCATCAGCATACGAATAATATCATGCCCGACCGACAGCAGTAGCAAATCAGGAGTAGATTTCTTTTGTTCTTTCTCTCCTGATGGACAGTAAGAAGAAAAAAATAAATAAAAGGTGGTGATGTGATTGGGGGGTTGGGTTGGTGAGTTGAAGAAAGCTCAAAGCTACGCAAGTGATGTTTTTGATGAAGCGATGCCGGGGAAACGGGAGAGATACAAAAACTTGATAGTTACATACCGATCCAGCCGCGGGAGATGGGAGGTTTGGTTCTGTCCGCCTTTTTCTTGACGGCGGATTCGGGCTTGCCCATGCGCTTTTCTTCCGATTTGGCGAATTTGGCGTTGGCGCGGCGTTGGGTCGGGGTTTGGGCCTGTGGGTAAGTGAGTGACTGGGTTAGGTTACGGGATGTTGGGTGGAGGGGGTTCTGGGTGGAAGGAAGAGAGAGAGAGGGGGGAGGGGGGGGAGGATGGGTTTCTCGAACTCGAATTGGAGGGAGGGTTGGGGGTTGGGTTACCATGGTGGGAGAGATGTCGAGGAGAGGGCTGTTGATGGATCTGGTCTGGTTCAGTGGCAGTTATAATATTCGAAGTTGCTTGTCTAGGTGGTAAAGAGTGTTGTGTGTATTCGGACTGGGATGGGAGTGGTAAAAGGGAGGAGGTGAATGGCGGCAAGCACCGCTTTTTAAAGCATTGAGTTGGGACCTAATTATTCCGGTTATATTCTCGAGAAAGAGGCGATCTGGCCTCGTAACCCTCGAAAGACCAACGGATCTCTGTTGTTGGTCAAGATGATAGTGGTGTGAACAGCTCTCCTCATTTGATACTCCTAGCCAACCCCCCCTGTCCGACCTTACTACCTACACAAAAACCACAGTGGCGCCAAGATTTCCTGGCCGCAATAGACTGAAGCAAGACTTCACACTTCGAATGCTGGGTATTGATTGAAGCTCTTCCACCGAGGTCACTTCCTATAAAGCCATCATGAGAGCCCTCTTACATACAAGACCATCATTCATACATCACACGCACTGTCTACGACCTCCGACTCCCCGCACCGTTCTCTCTCTTCCCTTCTCCACCAGGCCCTTCACAACCACATCCCCAATCCTCACATCAGATCTCTACTCCTCGCGCAGCAATCCCCACCGAGCCTACTACCAGACCCACGGCCGCGCTCTGTTCAAATGCCTCACCCTCGCATTCCTGACCTACCAAGTCGTGTACTGGACATGGCTCACGCTGGAGACGGAGGAGATCAAAGACCAGAAGAATCGAGAGATCAAGGCGCTTGAGGGCGAGTTCCGGCTGTTGGATGAGGGGAGGAGAAGTCATCTGGCGGAGCGAAGGGAGGGTAAAGGGATGGAGGAAGGGATGGCAAAGAAGTGAAGACGGGGTGTGAAGGAGTCAAGCAGGGAGAAACATAGCAAAGAAGAGTTGCGTTTGGCATGGTGGAGCATACAACGAATGGAGAGAGGTAGCCAGAAATGAGGCTCCACCGACCCCAAACAAGAGATGTTCATCTGGCTTGTAACGGTATCGCCCAGTCGGGATATTCTTAGCATCTAAGTACGCCATGGAAGACCATATGGTCGGGTAGTGGTGCCACGCTCACCTCAGTCACGAAACCTCTACCTCTCATCGGCGGGGTTCCGGAGGATGTGCTGTTCGAAGGTTGAAGAAATGCACGACCGGATGGTAAAGATTAGGCGTTGGGTTTGGCATCTCCTCGCAGCGATACGCAGCATGCAATTGAAGTGAACAAGATCTTTGGGGTAAAACAGACACCTTCCTAACTCGGCAACCTGCTCGTTCCACCAGACCTTCTTTCCCAAAATAAAGTACGGGATATTGAAGTGCAACGACCGTGTACCTAGGGCCCCTGAGGCATTTCCAGCAAAAAGCAAAAAAAAGAGAATGCATCTCCCTAACAGCAGCTCGAACCATCAACTCAATCGTCAAAAACCTTGGAACCCTCGCCTACTCCGGGTGTTCCCGGATTAGAGAGGATTATGAAGGAGAAAACCCTCCCTGGCGCACACTGACAGCTGAGTCAATGACCCAACCGTCGCACCAAGGAGGGATTTTTGGGTGGCTAGAATTGTGTCAGAACAAATTATATATACTATTTACGACGGGCAAAATCAGAGATGTCAGCAAGAGGCATTTAAACTATGCACGCCACTGGGAAGGTGCGTGTGGGCCATTGCCTGCTCCACACAAACAGTGAAGTACTAGAATCAAACTTGGCAGAAACACCGGAGCACGACTTGAAGGAGAGGACCAAAGAGCTTTTTTGTATCGAGAGAGATATATCACGTACATGGCTGCGCAAAAACCCATTTCCGTCAAGAAAATACATTGAATCTCACAACTTCGCTCTCAATCGGCCCTCCTTCTCCAGCTCGGCATACTCCTTCCTCGCCTCCTCCTTCAAAATCCTTCTCAAGATCTTCCCACTTGCACTCTTCGGGACTGCGTCTACGAATCTAACACCGCCTCGCAGTTTCTTGTGATTCGCAACTCGACCGTTCAGCCACTGCACGATCCTTTCACCGTCTCCTTCCTCCACAGCCTTCTTGCCACCTTTTCGGACAACATAAGCCCTGGGCACTTCCGTCCCCAGCTCTTGACTCTCAACACCTACCACCGCAACATCATCGATCAGATCGTGATCGACAAGGTGTCCTTCCAGCTCTGCTGGAGCTACCTGAAATCCCTTATACTTGATGAGTTCCTTGACTCGATCCGTAATGTAGATATCGCCGTGCTCATCGATATGCCCCACATCACCAGTCCTGAACCAACCTTCATCATCCAGACACCCCTTCGTCTCTTCCGGTTTGTTATGATACCCACGGAAAATATTCGGGCCCTTGAGATATAGCTCCCCTGTCCGGCCTTGAGCGACTTCCGTCGCCTTGCTACTCGAATCATGTTCCTCCCCACTTCCTGGCATGGCGCAGAATTTTGCTTGCATGTTCGGGAATAATTTCCCGATAGAACCAATGCTTGTGGCCCAATCCGCCCAAGGCTGAGAGATACACGTTGGGCTTGCCTCGCTGAGTCCGTAGGCTTGCTTGACTTTGATCCCCGTGCGCCGGAAAACCGCCTCGACAAGCTCTCGCGTCAAAGGCGCAGCTCCGGAGTTTGTCATTCGGATTGAGCTGAGATCGTACCTTTCCACGCAGGGGTGCTTGGAGAGGAGCAGGCACATGGGTGGGACAACGTAGATATAGGTAATGCCATGGTCTTGGATCAGGCGACAGAACTTCTCGATCTCAAATTTTGGCAAGACGATGATTTTGACTCCGGAATACATGGGTAGGAGTATGCTGGTCGTCAGACCGTAGATGTGGAAGAATGGGAGGCATGCAAGGATCTTGTCTCCGCCACTTCCCTTTCTTGGTAAAGGGATATCACCCGATGTGCCACTTCCGTCCCAGGTCAGATTGCCGTATTCGCCCGCATTAAGCTGCAAGATATTGGATGTCAGGTTGTAATGGGTTAGTTCGACTCCTTTTGGTGTGCCGGTCGTGCCGGAGGAGTACACCAGAAATGCCAGATCCTTCTTTGGGGATATGTTGGCCTTGTTGTATCTGGATGTTCCAGAAATATTGCGAACTGAAGACCAATGTTTGAATCTGCCAGTCTGGTCCCTAGCCTCTCCCAGTAAGAGGATACGATCTTCAGGGAGGCCAACCTTCGCACATGCTTTTCGCACGGTGTCAATCGTTGTTAACTGTGTGACAATGGCCTTTGCTCCGGAGTCCTTTAGCTGATACGCCAGTTCATTGACCGTGTAACCAGGGTTGGCAGGCGAGACAATGACACCGGCCCATAGTGCTCCAAGAGTGATTGCCGGTGTGTCTATGCTATTAGGTGAGAAGAGACCTAAGACATCTCCTTTACGGAAGTCATAAAGAGACTGTAGTCCTTTGGCAAATTCTGCCGATAGTGCTCTGAGCTCTCCAAATGTGAAGCTGCTATTGCTATCTGCATCCTGGAAGATGACTTGTAATGGTTATCAGCATGCGGATACCAGAGGCAGCTGAGGCCAAGGAATGTTACCTCTGTCTTCTGGAAAAGGTCGGTCTTTGCGATTGAAAAGGAATGAGGAAATATCTTGCTCTGGGAGTTCCAGTGGTTGGAGATGTGATTCAAAGGGCATTTTGAGATTTCATAAGGCTGGAAAGCTATACCAAAGGCTGAAAACAAGATCACAAGATTGCATACAAACTGACCGATCCAAAGTACATTATAACATCCGCGATGACTCCCAATGACTGTACAGAGTGCTCTCTCCCCACCGCACTTGAGGGCCGTTACACAACCGCAGTAAAGCCCAGAACCGTGAGTAACCGAGGGTGTCTGGAAGAGGAAGGATAGCCGGACGCACCAAAATTGTTTAAAAGGTTTAAAATGATTTCCCCGCCGATCTCAAAAGAATTATTCCCTACCTTCAACAATATTGCACAACTGCTGACAATCATCACAACCCGGCGATGGGCCTCGCGGAACCTAGAAAGTAAGTGATGGCTACTGAAGACCTCCTTCTGTATGAAACAGCTTGATATTCTGACTGATCACCCACTTTCAGGCGGATCAAAATCTCGCACGATCCAAACAACCTGACTTGGGCTCAGTCTGCAGAATCTTATGGCCAAAAGCTTCTCTCCTCTCAGGGATGGAAGCCTGGTCAGGGCCTTGGTGCTCGAAGTGTCAAACATTCCAACTCGCCTATTCCGAGTATCAAGTTATCCTACAAAGACGACACTCTGGGCCTCGGCTTAAGTCAGAAGTCCTCAAACCCTGAGCAAACCAGGACTGGGTTGGATGCTTTTCACGGTCTTCTTGGTAGGCTGAACAGCAAGGACGAAGTAGAAGCGAAGAAGCTTGAACAAAACTCCGAAGATCGAAAGCTTGCTAGGTGGGCCCAGGGTAGATGGGGCGGTGTCATCTTTGTGCCTGGCGGTCTTCTCGTCCAGGGTGATAAGTTCCGGAAGGCAGAAGATGATATGAACCTGCTTGGGAGTGGTTTTGAAGAGCAAGTGGAGCCCTCTGATCTCAAGACTAGAAAGGCAGCCAAGGCATTGCGGAAAGCAGAACGGCAAAAGAGAAAAGAGGCAAAGGGCAAGAGAGAAGGGAAATGCAGTGTCTCTGATTCAGCCTGCAAGACTAAAAACGATGACCTGACAGACTTCACTCTTGAGAATCCCAAGATCAAGGAACAGGTTGATAGAAGTACGAACAGTACACAGGAGATCGTCGTTGCGGATATTGGGAAATCCCTCGGCACAGATCAGATGCAGGCAAAGAGAAAGTGTCCGAAGGAAAAGCGCAAAAGGCAAGTAGATGAAGCAGACCGTGTCATGAAGCCTTGCCAAGAAGGGGAGATGATCGTGGAGACTGTTCAGCTCCCTACACCTCCCTCAGAGGCTGTAGAGACGCCGATCTCTGCACGCGCTGCACCGTCAAGCTCGAGGAGTGGTAGGCATCTCCTTCGTGGTCGAAATATTCAAGCGAAGAGAATGGCCTTTGCTGATACAAGGTTGCTTGACGAGGTCTGATGGCCATTTTGCCACCCTTTTCTAGATTGCTAACCAAGTATTAGATCTTCATGAGGAAATCTTGATAGTTCCGTGTACGCCATCCTTAAACTAGGATGTGGATCAGGGAAGGATCGATTCTATGGTTTCACGTCGAGCACGAATTTGCGATTGATGACCCTGGATGAACGATTTTGTCAACCGCTATATCCAGAAAGAGGGGTCAGTGGAGAGTTCTCGGTCTGAGAACGGATCCAGCGGTGCTGGACTGCAACCTGGTGCCGCAGTTGTTCATATAGCGGAATCAGTGGAGAGTTCTCGGTCTGAGAACAGATCCAGCGATGCTGGAGTGCAATCTGGTGCCGAAGCTGTGCACACAGCAGAATCAGTGGAGAGTTCTCGGTATGAGAACAGATCCAGCGATGCTGGACTGCAACCTGGTGCCGAAGTTGTTCACACAGCATGTAAATGCTGTGAAGCAGCCGAAGCTCAGGCTTTGCTTCCAATTATACTGTATCAAGCATCAAAGGGTGCAGGTATAGAATGGAGGTGTGTGGGCGATGCCCATGCCAAGCCATCAGTTTGAGTTGAGCAGTGAATGAACACCGCTATTGATCCCATTGTGGGCGGATCTTTTCTTTTCGAAAAGAAAAGATCTGAGAAACCGCACACAAAATCAAAACTCAGTCGCAATATCTCACACATCTTCAGCAACGACAAGTACAATCTTGCTAGCCAAAGACCTCAATCAGTACAAACTACCTCTTTCGAAACCAGCAGACCACCTCCTCAAGCCAAAACACCAACACTTCAACATGCCATCAAGCGAGCAAACGCCTCCTCCAAGCCCACCACCACCACTACCACCAGCACCAAGACCCCGCTTCGCAGTCCTCCACCAACCAGAGAGGATCCAGCATTTCTACTTCCCAGAGGTCACGCCAAGCCCTGCCGAAGCCGAATCGGGTAGCAGCAGCAGCAGCACCAACCAAGCAGCTACCCAGCCAGACAAGACGGCACCTGCGTCGATCTCGGCTTCGGCAGGAGAACCGGTGGCCTCTGCAGCCAACCAACCCACCTCCTCCTGGGCTAGCATCTGTCTGCCTCACCAACGACAGAGTGGCCTCTCGGCATCATTGAGGAGGTGGGATGGGCTGTGAAGCGGGAGGAGAGGGGTAGGGGTGGAGACCGGAGGTGGGGAAGGGAGTGGCGGGCCCTTGCAGGCCAGTAAGTCCATCCCTGGAGTGGGGACATGAATGGAGTGTCAAGAGGAGAGGAGAGGAGAGGGGGAGTGGCGGGTCCTCAGGGACCGTAAGTCCATCCCTGGAGTGTTCAGGAGAAGGGGAGGTTGAGGGAAGCGGGGATAGGGAGTGGCAGGTCCTCAGGGACTGTAAGACCATCCCTGCTGTAGATAGATGACCAGAGACAGCTACCTGGGGGAAAGGGAGTGGCGGGGCCTTGAGGGCCCATAAGTCCATCCCTGGTATAGGTAGTTGAATGACAAGGTGTTCTCTGGAGCGAAATGCTTGTTCCCATGACTCGAATCGTGCTATGCTATGATGCCCCTTTTCAGCCACGGAATCGGGATCGCCTCTACGACGCTTGACTGCGTACCTAGCCTCTTCATCTTTTCCAGAAAATCGACTACTATCAAAGGCGACCTACATAGTATAAGGCAGCCTCCCCTCCTTTATGAGTAAGCCATCCACCCCTTTGATGCCAACTCCGCCACAGTCCGCAGCCTGTACGCGACGAGGAGGAGGAGGATGAGGAAGAAGGGAAGGAGAAGGAGAAGGAGAAGAGCAGACTGCTAGTAAACTCGACTCCGCTCGGCCGGGATTGGAAGTCCCTATCTCGAGGTCTCACCCATTTAGAGCAGAAGAGGAGAAATGGTAGCGAGCTATGAGGAAGACATGAGAATGCTGCATTGACATGGCCACCATAACACCCGCCTCCACCACCGCGCACTCATTAACAAGTAAAACACGTCCCAATCCCATTGTTGATGGGTATTGCTAATCTTACATACGCGCCGTCGCGCACATTCTTTGCTATGATGGATACTGCCATTGTATCCAGCAAGGTCTCTGATGAATTTGACCGCCCCTTTGCTGCTAACGAGCCTCGAAAACCTTCTGCATGTAATGTACCTAAGAGTTACGCTCAAAGACGTTTGCCTGGTCGATGCATATCGCATCAATCCACATAAAGCCTTTCCTGGTCGGTTTGCCGGAGATGGCAAAGAGCTTCGTGTAAATGTTTGCTGGTGCAAAAAGAACCCATTTTCCATCGAATTGATCGGGTTAGATCGTTGTCATCCCAGGTGTATGAAAGGGCTTTCTATCCATTGGCAGCGTTCATGGGAACATGGAAAATGTTGGAATTCAGATGATCCCCACATCGACCAGGTAGACCATAACAAGTCGGATCTCGCGCAAATCGACACTCAGCGGACAGCATCTGTATCTCGACTCCGGGCAAACAGAATTTCGTTCGGCGTTCACAGAAACTTTCCATATCCAAAGAGTACTCTCTCGAAATGTAGATGTACAACACCGAACCAGCTTTCCTGAGCCTGGTCCGAAGATATGGAGAATGAATAGATATGGGGCTTGCAGAGAAATACTGACAAGGCTGTGCACTCCCTCAATTACCTTGTTATGCCGACATTGACAGCTTGCATACATCTTTAGAAACAATGTCTAGGATCTGATAGGATAAAAAGTGTAGCATCTGAGCAAGACATAAATAGCAGTACCTATTACAGTATGCGAACATGTATCATTGAAGGGCTGGGAACATTAGCGAAATGTATTGAAAGGTTGGGCATGGTAAGAGTAAACACGCGACCGTTCCACAACAGCTCTAATGGCAAGCAGGAAAACCATTCGTGCCAAACACCAGTCTTGTCGTGCATACAGTCCTTGATAGAATTCGTACTAAAAGGTAGCAGTAATCTACATGTACTCGGTCGCCCTGCTCATTGGACTTTCTTCTGGCCTGAAGGACCATTCTCCTTGTCAAACGCTGCATAGCTCACCTGTAGACTCGCAACCCCTGAGATAGCAACGTAGAGAATCGAGAGCAAGAGGAAGCTCACCAGCAGACCCATGAACAGACCTTTCCAGAGCGTCAGCGTAATGGCATAAGAAGCCGAAATAAAATAGTTTGCTCACCAGGAGTCAGGAATTGATATTTCTCAAACAATGGTCCATCGACCAAAGTTTGATTATTTCGAACCTTCACCGGTTCCGAATCAACATCTCTCTTGAGCTCTGTGTGCAGAGACTCGTCGTAGCTGTACATCTCGTACTGCTTCGGTGTCCCTGCTACATGGCTAGCAGGAACGGCCGGTGTGGTTGTATATAAGACAGTATAGTTGCGATTGCGTAGCATGTCGAGGATTAACGAAAGAGAGGCATCTACAGAGTATTGAGCACAAAATTCTGGCCAGGCGCCGTTTTGAGGAAGGCTTACCGTGATCTAATATGTCCTGCCCGCGCTCTGGCTGAGACTCTGATGGCGCAGAGAAGTTAAGGCTGAGCACCTGAGGAGTATCATCGAAGATGGCGGATGAAGCTATCGCTGCACCAATGTTAGCTATACCCCAACGGTTGCGGAAATGATGGATTTACTGGAAACATCAATCGCAATTGACGAAGCACCACATCTCCTATTAAGCTCTTGCTCTATTAAACGTATATCAACCTCTCCGATGACCTCAGGTATGATTGTGCGTGAGCGCAATCTCGTGTCAGTTGCGTGGTTCGAACATTTTGACAATGCAGGAGCGGAGGTAGAAGACGAGAAATCTGCAACGCCAACACTAGGCTGCTTGATCAAAAGATAGATATCGGAGGGGCATCGTGAAAGAACGGATGAAAGGTCGGACGTAAGCCTTGAGCCAGATTGTAGTTGACTGGCAGGTAGAAGGAGTCTGTATTCATGATTAGGTTTCGACATTGCGTACTTGGAGTTCAGGCGTACTCGGATGTCGAGAATATGAACAATGGTGAGGTGTCTAGGTAGCCCCAAGCTACCTCGCTGGCTAGGACCAGCAAGCTGCGTTGAAGTAGCCGCATGGTTTTTGTTGAGGATTGATAGATGCAAGCTGGCACAATCCGATGATGCTCGAGTTACTACTGACCGATGTTGTTTCGGCTTCACGAGGCAGGATCAGGCGAGTCTTCAGCGCAGATCCAGAAGTTTTCCCGAGGACTTCCAGAAACTCGGCCTCCAACAGAGTAGTCGTTTGGACGAACTTTGGTCAAGAAAGGCCATGCCTCCACCTCCAAAGCGGCGAAAAATAGATTCTACGACAGCTGAAGAGCTTACATTCGATCTTGCAGACCGGCAGGACTATCTCACTGGTTTCCACAAGCGAAAGTTGCAACGGGCGAAACATGCAAGGGAAATTGCAGAGAAGAAAGCACGAGCTGAGCGAATAGAACAGCGACGCAAGGCATGGTTTCGTCCAAGGCTAAAACGTCAGATTCTCTGACGCGTGATTTAGCTACGAGAAGAAAGAAGACAAGATCTCGAGCGTCATGTCGCAGAAATGAATGCCCTGCTAAAGCCGGTTGACGCATCGTCAGAGGCAGCGAGCTCCGCCAACGAGCCAGACATTGAACAAGAATGGGACGGAATCATGGAGCCGCCCGAGATTGATCACGAAGCAGAATACATAGACGAGGATCGATACACTACTGTTACTGTCGAAGCAATGGACTTGTCAAGGAAGGGCCTACACAAAGTGGAGGAAGCCGAGGAACATTCCGACAGGTCGAAGGACGGCAAGGCGGATGCTGTTAAAAGTTCACTTGAGCAGAGGCAGGGCAAAAGGAAATGGACGAAGGAAAAGCCACGAAAAGAAAGTCAGGCCTCAAAGAGGAAGAGAAAGAAATTCCGCTATGAGAATAAAACGGAACGAAAGATGACCCGTCTCAAAGAGAAATCAAAGAACAGTAGACAAGCCAAGGTTCGTCGAGCTGATTAAAACATCAAAGATTCTGCGTTGATCGCTCTCATACTTGCCCAAGAAGTTGGACGCTCATGGTATCATGGGTGCGTGCCGTAGTCTATGAAACAGACAGCCTGCAGGGGAACAGACGAGAGATGACAGCCTGATGACTATCACGCCTAAAATAACTCCACTCGAGGAACCGCAGCAGGTGCAAACAGCAAGCTCGTAATGCAGACCTGAAATGCTCTAAATGTTGCCCATGCTCACTTCCAGTTCTTGTAGCTCCTTTTGCAGTGCTGAGTATTTCTTCGCCATCTCCTCAAACTTGGTCTCCCAGTTATCGCGCTCGACCTCCAGCGCCTGAACCTTGCGCTCGTAGTGACCTGCTTTGACATCTGTCTGACGGAGTCTGCTCGATCAATCAGCATAATGCCGAATGTGGGTGCACTGTCATACTTGTCATTGGTTTCTCTTAACGTCTTGTCAGCCTCCTCAGCCTCTTCCTCAAGGAGCTGCAACCTCCGCTGTAAACTCTCATTCTGCTGACCGTGCTGTGCAATTTGGCCAGCGGCGTCTTTAGCCTCTTTGAGGGCAGTCTCGAGCTTCTCAACCTCAGCCTCGAGGAGCTGATTGCGGTGCGTAAGAGACGTGATCTCTTGTTCCTTGGCTAGACTTTCTTGTTCGAGAGTTTTGACTTTAGCTTGAAGCTCCTCGCTCTTCGCTTGGTGTTCATCGGCCTCAACCCGCAGGGATTGCATTTTCTTTGCGAAATTAGCTGCTGCTGAAGCCATTGTGATCTGTTGTAGAGGCCTATGGGGCGGTATGGTTTGCGAAGTGATTGATTTTGTGGATAGTACTTCTTAAGAATAAAAGAGGAATTTATTTGGTGAGATGTAGCTTATTCATGGAGTAGGCACATGTGTTTCGTTCCCAGCGGGCAGGACAATAGAGGCAGGAGATGATAGAGAACACGTACCTCCTTGATTCGATCCATATCTGCGCTTTTGCTTGGTCGTCCACCAAATACTGTACTGGATTTCTTGGAGCAGCTCAATCAAATTCTAGGAAGCCTCTTCAGCAAATCGTGATTTGAGTCAGGGAGTGCGTGTGAGGTCGGTTGTGAATTGCGCAAGTCCCATCGTTTCCCTAGTTTGGTTTCTCCAATATTTGTACCTGGTCGTAGATCACCACGCCAACCACAACAACAAGCGCTCCAATACTTTTACTTAGAATTACACGATACAGCAGATATTGGCAGAGCACATTCCTACGTGGCCGCATGATAAAGGTTTAAATGCAAGATGCTGGCTGCAAGGGATCAGGAAAACTTGATATATTCGCAACAGACCAATGCTGCCAATAAGCCATTGAACAAAGCCATCAGAGGGCTACCATCCAAGACACCAGGACAGCTAGCTCCAAAGACGCCTTTCAAGACCTCTCTGGACACGGAAAACAAAGCAAGAATATTTGAAACTCAGAAAACTGGTCTAAAGGCGTTGGGCAAGGAAAATGAGAATCATCTACGGCCCGAGAAGAAGGATGGCACTCTTGACGGCAGAGCCTTTGTCACACCGATGGGTAGGAAACGGCTTTTGGCAACTCCCTTCAGATACTGAACAATGTCATAGGGCCGCGGACACGCGCACCATTGGGCATGAAAACTACGAACGCCAAAGCACAAGCATTTCAAACTCCAGCACCTCTACAACAATCTACGAAGCGGGAGAAGACTCTGAAGAAGGCTTCGACTACTCGCAAATCCATCAAAACGAAAATACGTATTGCTCCTTCAGAACCGGTCGGGGCAGACATTCTCTCAAGAGATCCGGATTCTGATGTCCCTGACATCGAGTACTGCCCTCCGCCTCCTGTTGAGCTACCTGATCCACCAGAGGATATCACCTATGATGAGAGTTTGCCGTATTTGCGGGGCAAGAATCTTTACGCAGGTTATGGTGAGGTGTATGATATTCCAAGAGATGAGCATGGCATCTCGCTCACAGAGCGAAAGAAAGAGGAAGCTCATGCTAGGCTTTTGCAGCAAATGGAGAACAAATTAGGAGAAGAAATGGCAAAACCCTGGTCAATGGAAGACGATGAAGACAAAATTGTGGATGCTATGATTGCTGCAGGCCCAAAGAAGATAATGAACCGGAGCAGTAATGTGGACACGATCAGGGCAAAAGGTGCGGTGTCCGCGTTAGCTTCTCAGCCACAGACAAGATTGCCATCAGCAGCAATGATGGATACAGCAAGTTCCATGCAGAAGAAGAAATCCGCTTTTGCGCTTCTGGGAAAGAAGACCCCTCTTCAGCCGATCAACCCGAGTCACATGCGTCACAATGCTGCCGTTGCCGCGTCGAAAACAACCATGGGATATTCCAAGGGTAGACATGTCTCATCTATTCTGCCTGCGAAGCAAGCGCCAGCACCAAGAACAACAGCAAAGATCGATCAGTCCAAGATCCATCCCCTAGAGTTCAGAGAGCTCTATGGTGAGCCGCCTGCGGGTAGCATGATGTGGCACAGATTCATGCAGCATGGTCTATTTGACAGCGACGTCGATGACGATGAGGCTGAGGATGACCTGGCAGGTCAGTTGTGCGGTGCGGACGTCCATAGCGAGGATGAGGATGAAATCTTCCAGCTACCCATGCCGGAAGAGGTGTAAGACCTGAGGAACAGGGTTAATCTTGCATAGCGCTGGCGTTCAAGTATGGTGGGACAGTACGACTAAGGTCATCAGACAACAGTTTTATGGGCATTGTTCTGCAGATCGTCACGCGGGCTTCGAGAATTTGACATCCATCGAGCTTAGCCACAACATTATATCGTGTCTATGTGTTAGTTGTGTACTCCACGAAGCACAAAATCCCTGATTGGTGTATGACCTATTCGTCATCGATAGAGTACTCCATACTGGCAGCTGACTGATCACCGACTCGGGAAGCCACTGTATCATGCATCATGGACTTGAGCACTGGAATTATCGACTTGTAATAAAGATTTGAATACCATATCCTGCGCTCTCCCATACTGGTGCTCATTGTTTGGCGCAGCCTATCTGGTCTGTGCTCGTCTAATTGGATTGCTGTTTTTGGAATGCTTGATGCTAGGGTATGATAGCATGACGCCACGTTGCCTGCTATTTTCATCCCGAAACGGGACCCCGGGGGTGTCGGATACTTTGTTAAGAATGGGGAGGAATGACTTGGGCGAATGATGGTCTCCTGTCAGTTGGGGCCGCTTCGTAGCCCCTGATTGTGTACCACGTAGTCCATGACTTAGGGCTTGAGTTGGCGCTAAGTAGGAGCTACCTGGCAACGCGCTTTCGCTTCAAACGGCCTGTTATTTTGGAAACAAGGGGGTTGTTGAACCGTCACAGGAGGCCTGGGTACCCTTACTACGTATACCCTCATAGACCTCCCGGTTCGTCAACGACCCTTTAGACAACCAATATGAATGCTGCAATCCACGCGCTATCTCCATCGAGAACTGCAGCAGCTTCCATTCACGTCTTCGCTCGGAATCTTCCTTCAACATCTCACTAGTGCTTGCTACCCAAACATCATCTGTCAACACACATTCCGTCATGGTCTCCTTCTCCTGTGAGGTGAGTGGAGTCGAATGGCTTGATCTGATTGCTGTTGTCGTTGCTGATATGTATTGTTCACCCAGGCATGCGGAGATGTCTTGACGAAGAAGAAACTCGATCAACATCGGAACCAATGCAGAGGAGCGTCCTTCACCTGCCTCGATTGTATGGTGCACTTTCACGGGACGGAGTATCGATCGCACACTGTACGAGACCCCCGTGCTTTTGATTTCATATATGCGGCTCGGAAACAGCTCGACTCTTGCTGATCTAGCAAAAGTCCTGCATCACAGAAGACCAGAAGTATCAAGGCGCTCTGTACAAGCAGAAACCATCCAAGGCAAACAAACGAAAGTCTGTCTCCATCGCCGAACCTCAGAACAATCATGCCCTTGCTCCACGTGCAGCATACGTCGAAGACGCTCCTGACATCGATATTCCTCCACCTGCACCGAGTCCTCCGCCAGCAGTACCTGCGGAGCCTGTGCAGGGAGTCAATGTTTTTGACTTTTTGGTGGCTGAGAACACCCCAAATGCATCTCGAGTCTCATTAGGAGGTTCACATGAACAAATGTCAATGAAAAGGGGCGCACAGTCCATCTTTTCCGACAGCCTCAACGACAAGCCAATTGCCACAGCAGATCAAAACACTGGGGAGGAGCAGGCCTACAAAGCGGAGTATGAAGAGCAGGGTTTTACTTACGGCACTGAACCCATCAGACCCGCTCAATATGCCAATCCTAATGACAGCCTCGCTTCACTGGATTTTATGACACCTGCCGCAAAAGCTTCTCGAGCGCTAATCGAGTCTAACGAGCCCGCAGCACCTAGCCTCGCGAACAGCGGCGTAACCAGCGACAAGAAGAGAAAGAGAGGATCCCCAGAAGCCCTCGATCTGTCAACCATAAACACCAAGGGAGCCCGTCGTCGCCAACATCAAGACGATACCCCTATGGCAGATGCCCCGCCAAGCTCCGCTGACACACCGTCTCTTGCTCACTCAGGGCTTACTGGAGGCCTTAATCGTCTTCTTTCAGAGACCCAAGACCCGTTCCCACCCACACCAGACTACTCAGATGAAAAGGAGTATGCGCGTGAGATGGATCGAAAATCCCACCACACCCGTGTTGAACATCCGGCTAGTCCACTAAAACGATCACGACGCTCAAAGGACGACAGCTCCACTCCGTCAGGACCCGGTTTCTCTATCAAAGGCCGAGCCGGCCGTATCATGTCCATGGTCGGCGGTGCTTCAAACGGTGGGGCCCTTTCCGTCCTCAACCCAGGCGGCCTACAAAATAAAGAGACCGCCCTCGTAAAAGTTAGACGGCGCACCAGTTCCTCCGAGGAAGGCCACCATGGCAGTAGAGAAGGCCGAAGATTTGAACGAAAGAAACACAAGGTCCAAAGACCAGTCTCTTCCATCTTTTCAGCAACAGCCCGACATGATTCCCCTTCAGTCCGCAGTCAGACCCACAACGAAAAGCTGTCCAGCAACGCAAGCACCACCAGCCGCAGAAGACGAAGCAGCAACGAAAGCCCCGAGGCCAGGAAAAGAAAAGTCAAAACCATCGAATATCACACCACTAAAGACGCCCACCGCGCAGCATCTCTTGACTACTCCGACTCAGATGACGACCACAATTCCAACTCCACCACCAAACCACCCACCACCCGACCCCGTGGTGGCGGCACTAACAGCACCTCCGGAGCAGGAGCGGGAGGAGGAGCAGAAATGGTCGTATTTGGAGAAGAACAACGTCTCAAGTTACGAGCGGAATCCTTCTTGTCATATGTGACCAAGGGTCCTGATAGCGAGAAGGGGTGTAGCATCAATAAGGCGTTGAAGAGGTGGCATCGGGATGGAGCGGGAACGGGGGTTGAATATACCGGGAGTAAGGAGGATGAACAGAAAGAGCTTTGGAGGGGTTTGAGGTTGAGGAAGAATGAGAGGGGGGAGGTTGTGGTTTTCTTCTAGGCTTGTTATTCCGGTGGGTTGAGGAGGAGGAGGAGGAGGAGGAGGAGGAAGGAGAAAGGAAGGTATTGGACTTGCTGGGCATGTCCCTTTTCTTCTCCATTCGTGTGCTGTTGTTTCAGACCAGCGCTTTCCCCCCTATTTTTTTTTCTTTCTTCTTCTAAGAGATCCAATTTGCATGTCCCATTTACCCAGCGATGGCGTTTCGGATCGTTTCAGCATAGTTAGTTACGAGCGAAATGCGGAATTTTACACGTATTGCTTGTACGGTATTTGTGGCACAAAATTAGATCTGTGAATCAGTGTGAGGAAAAGCTAATCTGCTAGTTAGTGAGAGTGGAGGACTGCGATGCTCTGCAGCCTGCTCCTGGTGGATAGTTTTTGTGATATTTTAAGGTGATGATATCGGAACTTTTCTGTGGCAACTAACCATCGCTATCTCTGAGATTACACGAAAGAGCCAGCCTCCCAACTTGATACTGGTGAGCAAGTGTTCGCCCACGGCTGAGTGGAGCCGTAACTAAGTGCTTCAAATGCTCTTTCTTCCCTTGCCTGCTTGAGCTCACTGCCTCGTTTGATGGATTCGACTCGTGACTTCGGGACTGTGTGCATTTAGGGTGGGTTTGAGGGATGTAATTATAGAGAAAGGGCGTTGCAGTCAGAGATCTAAAACTCAACTCTACTCCACTCTCTGGCGCTTGATGCGTGGTGCGTCTTCGTCCATCATGTCGGTTTGCTGGTCAAGGTCGTTTGCATCTTCGCGCAGTTCGTCATCTTCATCTTCATCGTCAGCTTCCGGCTCTGTCTCGGAGTCGTCGTACTCATTATTGTCACAATCTGCACCGTCTCCATTGGCGTCGGTCTCTTCTTTGTCGGCGTTTCCTTCATCGTTAACCTTGTCCTCATCGGTGTTGGCTGCGTCTTCGTCCGGAGAGTCGGGATCGTCTTCGGAGGAACCACCCATCTCGCTCATCATCCAATCCCTCGCTCTCTTCTGTTCTCGAGTCATCTGAAGCCTCCTGCCGCCCTGAGAGAGATCCTTGTGTTCGCTCAGAACTCTCTAGATGGTCGTTAGTGTTGCAGTTAATTTCGTTTGCCAGTCGAGCTTACGCTGTCGTTGTTAGGTGCCCAGCTTCCGAGTCGGCTATTGTCCTTGTCGATAAGCGCCCATTTAACGTACCCGACATCAGTGGTGGCGTTGGCTGGACCGTACTGGACGAGTCGTGTCAGGTTGGGGTGGTGTCCTAAAACTTGTCCAGCTAGTTCTTTGATGGTAGATGCTATGATCTCGACTTCTTCCATAGAGGTGAACGCAGCGCTATGGATCACGAGCACTTGAAGACTATCGCATTTATCGACAAGCATGCAGAAACAGTCGACAAGTTCTTGCCAACCTTTACAAGGATATTCCGTGAATGCTTCGTCGTAGATGTTAGTGCATATGAAGTATTTTCTCAACGAAGCCCTGTGTGGATCCGCGCCAGAGCGAACGCCCTTGGCAAATTTCTTCAGATAAGAACGGCTATTGAAAAGCAGAGCCTGATCTTGTGCTGCCATGTTCGCGAGATGTTGTCGCTCTAGGTCAAGAAATGAGGACGTGACGGAAGGTCTGATGAAAGGATAGCGAGAAGGCCCTTTAAGACGAGGTGGTGAAGAAAAGCTGATGATAGAGAGAATGTGAAGGAGGAGGAGGAAGAAAAAGAGGAAGAAGCAGCAGCAAGAGCTATTGCATAGCCCAGGAGCAAAAGCAAATGAAAGAGACACGGTGAACTAATCTCTCACAAGAGAGCAAGATGGAACTCGAAGCAGGACTGAGGTGAGAAGGATGATGCCAAATACACTTCAATATGTCAAGGCTGAGAGTCAGATTCTACTCAGTTCGCCCACACGAGAGGTGTGATATAGGCTTTGGTAGCAGACTTGGTGATGCAGGGTGCTTTGCGCTGTTGCTTTGCGCTGTTGCTTTGCGCTGTTGCTGCTTTGCGCTGTCTGTTGCTTTGCGCTGTTGCTTTGCGCTGTTGCTTTGCGCTGTTGCTTTGCGCTGTTGCTTTCGTTTCTCTCGTCTTAAACGAAGGACCTCTTGTTCTGTTGACTCGATCAGTTAGGAGTGGCTTAAGTACCCGTAAAATAATACTGCCTCAATCTGGCATGATATTTATTTAGTGCTTGAGCAAACCCTGTCCGCTGTCCATACCTAATCATCTATTCCCTGTTCAGTTCTCCTCCAACGCAGACACAATTCATCCACTTGAGAGCTGTTGCGTCGCCTCTGTGTCTCTAAACCCTTCTCACACCACCCATAGTGAGCTTGGAGACTGCATTATGAAACTTCGCAACTGCCAGAAGCTGTGTCTGCTGCGTCACGTCCTCCATCCTCACCACTGGTATCATCTCGCACAAGAGGAGGTCTGTGCTTTATACTGCAGCTTCTTTCACCTGGTAAGGGTACTCACGTTTTTCTCCCTTTCATGCATGAATTCGACTCTCCCTTGAACGCATAAGCCTATTACGAAAAGAGAGGTACAGACTTACGAAGGCCATGCCTAGCTCCACATTATTTAGTTGTCTGTCGTTCCAACTAAGCAAAAACCACATTGAGAGTTGATCGACAATCGCATATGCCTTTGGAGGCATGTACCAAACCCAGTTTCCGCGGTGTAGAATGGCCAGTGGACCCAAGAGAGTGTTGCAGCTGGTGATGACATGTCTGAGCTCAGTAGACAGAGTTCCATCGGAGCCTTGTCGACAAATGTTTTTGCAAACCATGCAATCGCGAGTCCAGTACATATTGACGAAAAGCCAGTCTCCTGGTCGTAGGAGCTGTCCTTATCAAAGATGTGTCTGTCTATATGTCAAGACGGATCTCGGTAGATAGGCGAAGAAAATCACACACAGGTGCCAGTGTACTGGTGGTAGGTAGGTGCCATGATCTTGTATTCGCTACAACTTACCACTCCAGAGAAGCACATGCGATTTCATCAAGTCAGGATTTGATTGGCCGACAGGGCCGAAGCTGCGTGACAAAATTAGTTCAAGATGATGGTGTCCAGACATGCGGCAGAGCTGTTCATCCATTCTGTCACTGTTCGTCATATGTGAGTGCACAATCCCTCACCATCTTGTCCAAACTCATTTCCTCTTCATCCTTAAAGTTGGGCATCCCACCTCCGCTTGACTCGTTGAAGCTATATTTACTCCCGTAATCATCATAAGGAAGGACAACGCCTGAAAGCGTAAGTGGAAGCGCCAGTTGCGCAATTTGACGAACAAAGAAGCTTGATTGCCGCTAAGTTACTCCGTACTTAGTTAAGTATTCTTAGCCGAGTTTGGGCCTTCGGGCCGTGAGGAGGACGACCATCTGCCCGGACTCACCCTCGGCAAGTCAGAGGTCACCATCCTGTATTGACCTACTAGTAGGACATTAGATCTGTGGATCGGCCAGGCATTGACGTGCTTGGTGCATTGGTGCATTGCTCGCTGACTGATTCGAATGATAGTATTTCAGATGATGTCTTGACACCCGTTCTCCCTGTTTCTGTCCCTCTTGATTGTCATGTTGTGCCATACGTGCTGTGCATTGCTCCATGTCTGCCCTCCTCTGGCTCAGTTGCCCATTTTGATATGCCGCAACAGGAAGCTCCATCTTCCTTGACGTCACTGCAAAAAGATTCATCCTCATCGCAAAAGCATAGCGATCCCAAGTGTGAGGTGTTAGGGAACCTTTCTTCCGGCGAGCAACCGATTATATACCACTATTTGGACTTCGAGACACCCTTGCCCACAAGGTCTCGTCCTTCCAAGCACAATGAAGCCACAGCATTCAATGATGAGATCCCTTTGCCAGCCTACCCAAACCTTGTGCCCTTCATTTCGCCGTTTTCATGGTCGTCCACCAGGAAGACCTTCATCCTCACCCTTTCCTCTGCTGTCACCATGCTCGCAGCGTATACTGCCGGCGCTTACTCTATGCCTGCGGAAGAACTACGTCAGAAATGGAACATTGGTGTTGTGACATTTAACACCGGTATTACCACTTGGGCTGTTGGCTTCGGAGCTGCACCCATGTTTCTTGCACCTCTGTCCGAGATCAATGGTCGAAGACCGGTTTTCGTCTTCTCAGGTTGTCTCATGACCATTGCCCTCCTTGGCTGCGCTCTTACAGACTCCTTTGCTGGAATGTTGATAGCCAGATTCTTCACCGGTGTGGGATCCAGCACATTCGCAACCATGGTTGGCGGAGTGGTGAGCGATATCTATCACACTCAGGATCGTAACACTCCAATGGCAATATACAGCGGTGCTGCTCTCTTTGGAACTGGTCTTGGGCCCCTCATCAGCGGCTTCATTGCAGAGTATGCCCGTTGGCGCTGGGTCTTCTGGGTCCAAGCCTTGCTGGGTGGGATCCTCACCACAGCAGTGATTATCTTCTTCAAGGAGACTCGAGGCAGTGTGCTCCTCTCCCGCAAAGCAAGAGCGCTGAATGCATATTACGAAGAGATGGAGGCAGTAGGCCACTGTGAGTGGGACATTGGCCCACTCTCCCACACCTTCGAAACCCCGCAAAGCCTGGAACCGAAGTACGAACGTATACGGTGGAAAGTCCTCGCCGATGAGAATCGCGCCTCAATCTCTCGGATGCTATACCTCTCTCTGACAACGCCTTTTCACCTCCTCCTCACCGAGCCAGTAGTATTTTTCTTTAGCCTCTGGGTGGCTTTTGCCTGGGCAATCCTTTACATGTCCTTTGACTCCATCCCCCTGGTCTTCACCACTAGTCATGGCTTCACCATTTCCCAAGTCGGAGCTGTCTTTGCTGCTGTATCCATCGGCACATTCATCGGCACAGTCCTAAGCATCTACCAAGAAAAGCTTGCAAAAATGACGGAATGGGGGCGAATGATCGCCAAATCTCCCGAAGGAAGACTATATTTTGCGTGCATCGAGAGCGCTTTACTTCCAATCGGTCTTTTCTGGTTCGGTTGGACGACCTTCCCTTCCGTCCCTACAATTGTGCCTATCCTTGCTGTTGGTTGCGCTCAGATCGGCATCTTTTCCATCTATCTCGCTGTATTCAATTACCTTGCAGACGTATACCACCGGTATGCTTCCTCGGCCTTGGCCGCGCAGTCTTTCTGCCGCAATATCCTTGGAGCTGTCTTTCCTCTTTTTTCTGAGGCTTTGTTTCGGAACCTGGGGTTCCCTGGCGCCAGCAGTCTTCTAGGTGGGATCAGTACAATATTGACAGCGGTGCCGTTCGTACTCGTCCTCTTTGGTCCTCGAATACGAGCTAGGAGTAAGTTTGCAAACGAGATGAACAAAGGTTGACCATTCCAAAAATCAGGACAGTTACAACAGTGAGGGGTCTAAGAGCAACCAATACCGTATTTGGGCAAAGAAATGCTACAACAAGCGGAGCCCATGTTCTACGCATGTCAAGCATGGAAGATCCCAGAGCACAAGACACCAGCTATAGAAGGGTTTGACGGCGCACCGCATCGATCAGCTGCTCCGCTTTCTCCCGAGAAAGCCACGACCCAAACTGAGCGTGATGCAACCAACGTGCCGCAGAACACCCTGACGCTAATCCGTAAGTCCAGGCCGTTATGCTCCCCTGGTCATTCTTTCTCTACATCTCCGAACTACCAGGCAAATACAATACAGAACAGAAAATACGCTCAGCTAAGTACACACTACAATCGAGTAATGCCAGCAAGAAAATCTCAAAGGCAGGCACCCCCGGATTGACACCCAGAGAAAGTCATCACCTGGAACCAAGATAGAAAAGAGACCTGTATGCAACCTAAAACTTCAGGGGATAGAAATGGCATGCAGGAAGAAGTACTGTGCAGAGAAAGGGGGCGCCCATAGCAATCTCGAACACCGATAGACAGCCGTAGTAGATAAGAAGAACACAACCTTTGCATGTCGGAGTTGTTACCCTCTTTTTTAATTTCTTTCTCCATCAACATCATCAGCGCGGTGAGCGAAGACGCCAGCCATTCCAGGTGAACGGTGGAAGTTCCCCCCTTTCTTTCAAAGATATCATCTCCTCATCGTTCTCACCCATGTTTTCTGTCGAAGAGAATGTAAAACTGGCAAGTCCCTCGAACCCGGATCATGTATTTCCCACCTCTGACTCTAAGTACAGGAAGGGCGGACGGGGGCGCGTGGTACATACCCAAAAAATCCATCATCTTAGACGTTATGTATTCGCGTACAAACGCTCCTGGTGTTCGTCAGGAGGAGGAAGAAGGAGGGGTGGTCTTGAAGGACGTCAGGACACTCCACAGTCGAGAGGATAGAGCTCTTAAGGAGTCAACAAGATCCTTTCTAGGGAGGCACCAGAATACCAAACAGCAATCACATGATCAGACCAGGAGCTGGAAAATAAAGAAGTGGTGTTCTTAATGAATCATTTATCATTCATTCTCCTGGGTATCTATCCAACAGCACAGCAAAAGCCAGGACCACGCCCAGGAGGGCCCTAGCTCATCCAGGAATGCACATGATGGACGCCACAAAAGCAAGAACAAGCCACACGGAAAAACAAAACCCCCCCGCCCGGCTCCCAATCTAAACTCTTTCCCAAACGGTCCACCCCCTCTAACCCCCCTCAGGTCTCCGTTAGCTTGGCGAAATGCTTATTCCAAATCCAGCCAATTTGCTTCTCCGGGTCATCCTGATTCCTCGCCAACCACAGCTCCCCCCTCTCCGCAATCACATCAAAGATCTCGCCCGTCACGTATGTGAGGTAGGGGAAGCCGGCTTCGCGGCGAGAGCGGTCAATATTGAACTCGTAGACAGATGCGGCGAGGAATAGGACGTCGATTCGGCGGTCCTCATTGTTAGTGCTTGTGGTTGTGGTGGAGGGGGTTGCTGTGAAAGGGGATTCGGACATGGGGAGAGCGGAGGAGAAGACGTCGGAGGTGATGGAGTCGGTGGTGGTGTGTGGGATTGGTGATGGTGAGAGGGTTTCTGAGCCAGGAGCGCGGCCGCCGTTCGCAGAGTAAAACGTTGAGCCGGAGTCTGGACGAGCAGTGGTGGTCTTCGGTTTGATGACGCCGATGGTGGGTGAGGGGGCGTCAAGGCTCAGACGTGGTGGCATGGGTGATCTATGTCCGCTGCTCCCTGCGCTGGTCGAAGGGCGATTGATTGACGCTCCTTGGTTGGCGGTGTTGTTGAGAGCTGTCGTGGAGCCATTGCGTACTATGATCTCTGAAAGAGTGCTGGGACCGGAGGCAGCCGAAACGCCACGCATACGGGGAGCAGGAAGTGAATGTGATGCTCGATCATAGGTCTCGGCCATGGGTGAGGCTGTGAAGCTGCCACTGTGACGTGGAGTGAATTCAGTGCTGAAATTGGGAGATGCGTCACTATTGATGGAAAATGAGCGCTTGCCTGCCCCATTCCAAGACGGCTGTCGAGGTGAGCTGGCGCCATCGAAATTACTGATTGGCGTGGCGAAAGTGACGAGGTTGACAACTTCTGAAACCAGAGAACCGTTACAGATGCCCAGTGACAAGGCTTGAGCTTCGTGATAGTCAAAGTCTTCCTGCCACTCCTTGGCAATCTTCGATACATCAGGTGTCGAAACTCCGACCACGGCCGCCAGTTTGCGCTGCCAGATCATCTGCCAGGTGCGCTGGATCTGCACATAACTTCTCAGACAGCCTTGTGCCAGATGACCAGTAAGATCAATCAGTTTCAACATCCTGTCCTTCGCCTCTCTGTTCAAGGCCTCCCATTCTTCCATGCGATCACTAGTCTTCTTGTCGATCTTCTCTCCACGGTCTTTCATATTCTTCCATCGAGCATAGTCTATAGATTTCTTGTCACGCTTCTGGATCAGACCTTTGGGATCCTTCGACAAAGTCTCCAGCATCTTAGCAGCAGCTGTCATGGGATCCACAACGACTTTCTGAATTGCTCCGATATGCTCGGGGATTGCCACGGTCACCAGCTCTCGCACGATCATACCGAATTGACGCCACCTGCTTTCTTTCTCGGGATAGTTCGTATGTCCGACATCGATCCAGCCATCGACTGCCAAAGCGAGCTCGTTGAAGCGTTGCGTAGTCCTGCTAGCCACACCCATATATGTTCTCACATCTTCTCTGACCACAATCAGGTGTGCGAGGTTTTCAGCATATCTGTCGCGTACTTGAGCATATTCTCTGTCCTCAACCACTTTTGAAACGCCGACGTTTTGCTTAAGCTTCTCTGTCTGCCGATTGATGACTTTTGATATTCCCCCGCGAACATCTGACTCCTTTCGATTTCGTTTGAGGCCCTGCTCGACGAGCTCAGAGTGTTTTTTCATCTCATTGATCCGAACGGAGATTTCAGTCAGTTCGCGCAGAGCATCTTTTATGGCCTCTCGGTCTGGATGGTCATCAGGGGTGGACTCCAGGAGCTGACCTATAAGTAAGGGATATTTTAGCAGCCTTTGAACTGGCTTCACCAAAAGTGAATCAAGATCCCATGCGTTGGTAAGATCGGCCGCATACTGTCGGCACTCTTTCAGCCAAATCTCGACCGTCGCACTTTGTTGAAGTGACTGCAGTTTCCGGTTCGCGGCGTCGTGATTCTTGAGGTAGACAGTGTAGACTTTCTCCATAGCACCTAGATTTTTCTTGAAAGCTTCACCAATATGGGTCCTGTGGTCCTTCTCAAATTCGGTCGGCTGATCGGTTTCTGTCCCAGCTTGATCATCGGACGTGGTAGTTGCGAGGGTACTTGCGGAAGCAGCACGGCTGGCCCTTTGACTTTGAAATCGTTGAGATTTTGGCATGATGTAAACACTCTTTGCAGCTTGTTTGAGCGAGTCCAAAAAGTCTATCGAGAATTTGACGATTTGTGCCGAATTTCCAAAGAGAATTTTGACGTCCTCGGCGGATAGGTCCAGACAAGAGCTCGACGTTCCCTTGTAAATGTCGTCTACCACACTCATGTCACGCCCAAATGACGCTTCGGTATCAACAAGCTCCTTTATAACATGTTTCCGCCGGATGACTCTCTTCTGTTCTGGCGAAGGAGAGGCGCGCTGGCTAGCCAAGTCAAGCGTAGGCTCTTCCAGACTTGGACGTTCCAGGTTTGGACGTTCTAGGCTTGGACGTTCGCTTGGGTAAGAGCCTGAAGTGGCGATCATGGAATCTTTCGAAGAGCTAGGAAGGCCTTCTGGGAAATTGTATGGGGAAGCCATTCGAGATAAGGAAGTGATTCTTCGAGGTACTGGTGGATGCTGAGGTGAGAGCGATTTGTGAGGAAAATTGCTTGAATGAGGAGTATCGTCATAAATGCTTGGGGATTGCCCAAAAGCGGCACTGCTCTCGTCGATTGACCTGCTCAAGTACGGTACCGGAGGTGGAGAATGAGAAGGAGGTCGGAGTGGTGGCGGTGTTGGTGACACAGCTGTTTTGGTGGGCGATCTTATATGAATGTTGAGACCAACACTGGAAAGCTCGCTGTTGTGCTCTGCCTTGGGAGTCAAAGCACCGTCTCTGGCAGAAGAAGCTTTCGAGTCCTTTGGTGGTAGTGGTGGCGCAGTCCCCTCACGATCTTCTGTTGGACTATCAGCAGCTGCAAATTGCATCCAGTCCACTATTGAAGGTGAGGTGAACGCAAAATCTTCTGCGTTGTTCAAACTCGCACGGTATTTGTGGCCCTGCACGTATTTCTCAGGAGCAACGCTATCTGGACGAGGTGAGGCAGAAACTTGGTCGCTAGTCTCTTGACTTCTCTTGAAAGGAGAGGAAACTTTTGAAAGTCTTTCGTACTTACTCCTGTCTATTTCCTGCAGACAGAGCTGTGTTACACGCTGCGTATCCCAGCCGCCTTGTCTGGCCAGATCTGGCGACTGTTCAAGGATTTTCTGGTAAATGTCGCCAAAATGATTTCGGTTTACACTGGTAGTAGAATATTCCTTCTCCAAAACCCTGCTAACAGATTTGTAGGCGTCAGCTTCAGCTGCAGATTGGCTTCCTACACTGCCTCCCCTATTAGACTTGGTAGAAAACGGAGAATGACGATTTCTACGCTGGATACTGTGGTCGGGCGACTTCTCCACTGTAGGCTCCCCGAACCCTTCAACAGATGAACGTTCCCGTATTGATGATGTCCAAGAGCCGGTGCTGCTGCACTGCTCCATCTTATCCTGATCCAACTTGTCCTCCGTCAAGAAAGTCTGTTGATGGTCATGTTCTGTCTCTCGCTCTTGGCTGGGTGATTCAGTGTGGTCATAGTAAGTGGTGTTCCGCAACATGATCTGGATGGACTCCTTTTCGGCTTGCTCTGAACCATTATCTGACATGGCCGGACTATCTGTCGGGCTTAAGTCTCTCAGATTCATGATCTGACTGAGGACAGTTCCGCTCACTGAACTAGGCTCGGTCTGCTCAATCTGGGGCTCGTTGTCGAACAGTGTGCCGTCCGTGTCAGCAGTCACTGCCGACAAGGGTGGCATGTCATTTGCTTCACTTGGGCTGTCAGACCGACTGCCGGGCCTGGAACGAAATACAGACGGCCTGCCCAAGGTAGGCGAGTCATTTCCTTCACCAGATTCTCCATTCTCTTGGGCAGTATCAATGGCACGATGTGCAGAGACCGTGTAATCAGCCACTCTCAGAGACTTTTCACTTGCCGTGAATTCCTCACCTGGAGTTCTGAATACATCTCCGCCCCCCTCAACTTCTTCGGGTCCAGCGTCTTTGTCCGCTGATTGCCTTCGAAACACGTCTGCTGGTCTAATGGTTCTAGTGCTGTCATTGCGCTGGGCCGCTTCCTCAACTTGTGCCCTCTCTCTAGCTCTACGCCTTCGATCTGCTGCAACTTTCTCTTTCTGCGCGTTCTCTCGGATGGTTTTGTTAAAGGCCTGTGTGATTTTTCGCCGCCGAGCTTCAAGGTCAACGTTGTCCAGTTCTGGAGGTCGTCTTGATCTTGGGATGGAAGATGGATGATCTCGGTTTTGCTTTTGCATCGTGCTCAACCTTTCTATGGTCTTCGCACGGGAAGAAGTCGTTGACGCATTAGATAGAGGTATTCGAGGTCTAGAGCTTCTCAATGGTGGTGATATTTTCGGTGGAGGAGCGATAATGTTTGCACGAAGCAGCGGACTCTTCTGATCTTGCTGCGCCGCTCGATTCCTACTTCCTCTCGCTGGAGCGTTGTTGGGCGAGTCGGTTCGTCTTGGAGGGTCAACTTTTCTTCTGGGGCTGCCAGACGCTTGCGATGCGTCTGGCGGCGACATCGGAGTACTTGAAAGGTCTCCCTGATGCGTGGCATGCCCGGTTGGAACCGTGCTTGTACGGGAATGGGGTGCAGATGTGGCAGAGTCGGATGCATGACTATGTCGCCGCCTTACGGGTATCCGAGACTGGGAGTTACGCCTCGAACCCATACCTGCGTTTGGATTGACGGCCTCGACCGGAGACTTTCTCTGCATCATGTTTTGGATTTGGGAAGGCTCGCTTTGCATGCTTCGCTGCATCGCACTCACATCGCTCTGCGCTCGCCGGTGCTGAGACTCTGTTCCATCATAATGACAGCCACTGGTACCAGCATTGAGAGTAGGGTTGAAACCTCGATACCACGCATCCGGAGATGTGGCAGATAGGTTCGCCTCGGAGTCCACGGCCGACTTTGGAAACATCGAATTCGGACTGTGCATGGGGGAGTCTACCGAGCCTCGTCGGAGCACAGGCTGAGATATACCATACGAAAAGGTGCCTTTTGTAGGATTGGAGGAAACAACCTCCCCGAACAATGGTCGTCGAGGTGCTTTTGGGTGAGACGGGCGAAGATCAGTCACAGATCTGGAAGCTGTTCGACTGACGCCCAGGTCAACCGATTCTCGGCGATTGGCCGGGCTCTGGTATGCAACCTGGCTTGTCTTGTGCTTCGAAGAATTGACCGAGTCTTGGGATGGCCTGTGTACCGCTGATCTCGTTTTTGTTTGCCCTTTTTTGGAGAGGGAAACATTGCGGGAGCTCCCATCTGAGTTCCCAATGCTCGCTGCAGGACTAATATTCCTCGAGCCGTTTCCAATCTCGACTTTCGTCTGCACTGATTGCGACCCACCTCCTCTATCAAATCTAGCCACCAGATCCTGGAAAGACGCCTGCCTGGGTTTGTCCAAGGAAGGAAGGCTTGCCTTCGACCTAGCAGAAATCAGAGCGCCTTCGCGAAACTGGGAAGATGGTGAAGCTTGATATGGCTGGCGAATATCTGTCCTTGATGTGTTTTGGGTTGGAGCCCCATTCGACCGGACCGAAGACAGACTCGACTTTGGCTTGGAGACATTGTTGGACCTAGCAGTCCTCACCCTATCATGTTGGTTATTTTGACCCACTGTCCCTGCTGCAAACGGATCATGGAGCGAGCGGTAGTATTCATGCGGATCTGGCGAAGCCTCCGAAACCTCTTCATCAGCTGGGCCATCGATTTGACCATAAAACGGTTTCACGGGTCGAGCACCTAGGTTGGTTGATATGGACAGTTTGGACCGTAAATGTCTACCAGGATTTGTATACGTGGTTGCAGGAAGGTAAAGAGCGGTATCATCGAAGAACTGCGAATTCCCAGAGGATGTAGAAACCGGACGAGTGAGCAGCTGATCATCAAACTCTTCTTGTTTTGGTCGGTGGTGGTGATCTACCGGGTAACGATTGTGGCCAAGATCAGAAGAGGCCATAACTTAACAATTTTGGACAACCATGGAAGTATCAAGACACATGAAGCTGGAAAGCCTCCCAGTTGCTTCTTTGCGACCCTTGTCCTGTCGTCACTTCCACCGCTGTGTTATTTCGAGGATATCAGCGATCTGAGACTCATCCTTGTCGGTCTTCAAATTTAGGAGCTTGCTGCGGGTAGGGAACAGAAGCTTGAGGTCAAGTAGCAGCCTGGTGGACTGCACCACAAGTTTGACCTCAAGCAGTGGGAGGGACGTGAATTTGCTGGTCGGATGATCGGTTTGAGAAAGGGATGCGTGCTGAAGTATCTGTGTGCAACCTGTAAGATCGGTTGTGCAAAACCGGTCACCGCAGGCTCGGGTAAGGTAAGGGTAACGACAACGTGGCAAGCGCAGGGGGTTGACAGCGGTTGAGTATATGCAGCTATCCTTAGAGATACACCGGGATGCTTTGGCTGGAGAAAATTGAGGAACTGGCCTCTGCTGTCGATGGTTGAGATCTTGGGCTCTGTGCAGGTTGCTTTTGGCTGGGTAGCAGTCGCGTTCAAGGCACGCTAATAATGCAGCACCGCTACAGAAAGCATTTCAAGCCCCACAACCATCTACCAGAGAGTGTTCGTGCAGCACATTCAGCAACTCCTCTGACTTCAAACCTTTACTGTCAGCATGAAGCTCTTCAGAGCACCGCAGTCTAACAAAGCTGACATGGTCAAAGAGATTAGTCACCGCCTATTGCCCTTCAAACCATGACCATGCTCCTTTCCACTCTTGGGTCATGGCCCTGACAGCAACGTCCTACTCAGGTGCAGAGTCAACACACTTACAGAAGATGCAAAAAAATTGCAATGAGCATGGCTGCGGCAATACAAGAACTACGCTGTAACAGCGTAGTCTGGTTTGAAAATGAGAAAAGTGGGATTTGACTAGGAAGATAGCAGATGTCAGCTTAGGATGGAGGACCAGCGTTCCATGCAACAGTGATATGTGCAGTAGCAGTCGAAGGGGGCAGGTCCCGAAGTTGGAATTTGTGGCATAAATATCACGTGTCGAACAGGTGCAATCGTGGAAGTGCTACTCATTACGGAAATCTGTGATAAAGCAAATCCTTCTTTCGCACTTCTGCCGCCGATTCACTTTTTCAGGACGTCTATAGTATATGGCGCAACCTTCCATCTAAGTTGGCCCTGTTTACATGCTCGGGTCTGGTCAGCTCTTCTTTTGCTATCCTCTCCGGTCTTTGATTTTCTCTCCAGAGAGCAAGGAAATACGCGGCGGCGGAGACGACGGCAAGACAGATCATGCTCATGAGGAGCGCGTACCCGGTACGGTAGTAGGGTGCATCCCTAGACAAAAAAGCAAACGGCGCAACGATGCCGCCGAGGTTGCCGAAGCCGATCTGCCAAGCGGTGCCGACACTGCGGGCATGGTGACCTTGCAAGTTCATGGTGAACCAGCATATGACGACAGGCATGGCTGCATAGATACCCATAGCCAAGAGAAAGAGGGCGCCATACTGAGCGTCAACGTTGTTGTGGACACGGAGGAGGATGGCGGAACCGCTGATGCCGAGGGCCAGTGGGATAAGGATGAAGACAAAGCGGTGCTGCAGCCTGTCAGAGATAAAAGCAATGAGCACAGAGAAGACAAAGGCGACGGCGAACGGCGGGACGGAGTGCAACTGGGTGGAGATTGGAGAGTAGCCATATGTTCGGATGATGGTGGGAGAAAAGTATGCGAAGCCTTGCGCGCATTAAGGCAGTCAGTGAGTTGTGCTTCAAAGCGTACAGGTGATAGAGGGGTTGGTTCACCATATGCAGGGACGATGAGGGCAAAGTACATAAGACCTCCCAGGACGATTTTGTAGTCCTTGAATACCTCGACGATGTCACGGAAAGTGGTGCGACGATCTGCCTTTGAGTCCCCTTGTTCTGTTCTTAATCGTTCTTTGATATAGACTCGCTCTTCCTCGGTCAGCCACTTTGCCTCTTCAGGGAAATCGGATATCAAGAAATAGGTAGCAAAGGACAGGACGCAAGTCAAGAGGCCTTCCAGGATAAATATCCACCGCCACGCATTGTAGCCTCGTAGACCATTCATGTTTCCGATAGCGCTGGCAAGGAGTCCCCCGAAGGCACCCGCAAGCTGAGTAGAGCTGAAGAAGAGTGTGTATCGCTTTTGAGCTTCTGAGCGTTTGTACCACATGCTGATCAAATAAAAGCCTAGACATCTGATGTTAGTAACTAACGGGTAGGCTTGATTATTGATGCCTCCGCCATACTCACATCCAGGAAAGACCCCTGCCTCTGCAAGACCAAGGAAGAATCGGGTCGCAATCAAGCCGCTGAAACTCTGGACGAAGCCCTGTAGCAGTGTGACGAGACCAAAAAGGAACATGCATATCGATACTATCAACAGCACATCAGAACATGCTGTAATTAGATGGTCGGCAGTCTTACACCAAAAATGTGGTTTGAGCCGTTTCAGCACGATATTGGAAGGGATCTCGAAGAGGACATAGGGCACGAAGAACACGGTCAACGCAACGTTGAAGTCATCGCCCACAAGTCTGAGATCCCTCTGCAGACCATAGACAGCAGCGTTGCCAATGTTAACTCTACATCCTCGAGCATGTCTGGTGAGTAATTCTTCGATGGCCGTAGCGGAAGAAGCATGGTCGCCTGGCTTACCGATCCAAAAATGCCATCAAGTACAGGATGCAAAGGACGGGGAGCAACCTTGCATCAATCCTCCTCATCAGCGCACGCTCCGTAGTAGTATGCGGAGGACACAAGACGACGCGTTCGCCAGACTCCACATGTGGGATCCGCTGGCGCTGTTCTGCTCTTAACACCTCGGAAGCCTGGGATAGTGCTGCGAGGTGTCAATTTAGGCTGGTTTGGGGCATATGAGGTACGGGAAGAGAAAGGGCTTCCCACATCTATCCTTGGTCACCATCATGCTTCTGGTGAAGGTGGCACGCAATCAGAAACGTGAGAGATGAGAGCAACAGAGAGCAAAGAAATGCCAATCAAGTTGTGCAGGATTTGACAATCAATGATGAGAAGCTGTTATGGAACTCTGCTTCCAGTCAAGCGCAAGAAAAGATGCGAAGTATCAGGTACCAATCATCCTGAAATGGGAATGTTGGAAAGAAGCTCATATGCTTCACTCATCAAATACCCGAGGCATGATGAATCATTTTTATCTGACAGCAACATGGTCATACTCGGTTGTTCGCTAATGTGGATGAGCACTAATCGGAGTTAGGAAGTGTATCTCCTAGCCTACAACAGACGGCAAGCACGGCTAAGCCAAGGCAGCTTCGGCCGCGCGCTGCCGCTCTTTGCAAGTGGCCGCAACACTGAGGGGCCACAGTAGTTAGCATGACAAACCGACTGACGCAACATTCTGACAATTGACGCAACGTCGTTTCTTGGAGAACGTTAAGAAATCTTGAGTAAATTAGAACTAGTGAGATTGTGGTGCACGAGTGGTTATGTTGCGTAAATCAGTTGGTTATGTCAAGCGAGCTGTTGGATCCCGCGATGGCCACCATCTCTTCCTATCTTTCACGTTGCAACTACGTAGTAGTAGTCGTAAGTTTACCAACATTAACTAGTACATATGCAAAACTAACAGTTAAGCAAACTTCTTGCGGCATATTACTAACTTACCCATACTATCCTCGCATTTTGGTCGTTTGCCTTTTCCATTAGCTGATACGGTGGCTTCGAGGAAAGACCTTGCTAGGTTCACTTTTCTTACATGTGTCTAGAAAGGGGCAAGTACAGTAAGGGCATGGGGGCAAGCAGATCGCAACAATTGTATACGAGATATGTAGGAAAACACAGCAAAGACAACCCATTCTTCTTGGATTGTGTTACATGAACTATTTAATTCTGTGTTTGTAGGGATGGTAAGGCTACGTGAGGTATGAGAAGAGTAATACACACAAGTTACTTGCATTATGGTACATGGTCGATAACGCCTCTAAGGGTACTAAACGGAGAAAGGATTCCCCGGCCGTCGCTTATGCACTGGAAGAGGCGTGGTGATCGACGGACACAGTCTTTCTGATGCCCCTCTCCGCGCTAGGATCATCTCCGACCACAGTACTGCTTCTCACAGATTCTTTTGCACTGCGGTGATCTGTGTAAACGCCACCTTCGATCTTGGTAATCGGCCCCCTCACGTAGCCACCGATTGTTTTTCTGTCAGGAGTCGTTCCCAGCTCCAAATAATCGCCATAAGCCAGCTCCGGGTCTCCTGCGTCATAGTTTCGAAGGGCTATCTTGGTACGAGGGAAGGTGAAATTAGAAGCCGAAGTTGTCGTGCTTTTCTGTCTTGAAGATGTGCTGCAAAATAATTTGGCGCGCACCTGAGGGCCGTATCGACGATATAGTGCAGGCAGTGCCGGTAGACAACTGCAGATGATACCCGTGGTAATTTCGGCTTCACTGTTGAATGGTGAGCATCAGTGATAATGATGTAAAGAAAGGGAGAATAACGCACGTCCAGAGCGACACCGAGAACATGGTGTAAGTCGCATCACTACTTGCAGCACCCTGTATGGTCACTACCATTCGAAGTATGCCTGCAACAGGGGCGCTATTCAATTATCAGTTCCGACTCGCCCTTTCGCTATGACGACGTGGTTACTAACAACGAAGCTCCAGTGAAGGCTACAGAGATCCACACCTTGCGCTCAAATGTTATCTGCAAGCGCCAAACCACAAAAATGGGAATGACAAGTATAGCAAAGTCAGAGGAGGTGTTGAACACACTGCTGGCAATAAAGAGTGCACCCAGGTCGATACAGCGGCCAGGTAAGGTCGGATGCCAGATCTTGATTCTTGGTGTACATTGGAATATTTTGGCCAGCGTGATGGCAGTGTAGAAAAGAATGCACAGGTAGAGAAGCAGCTGTATGTTGATATAGGTTGCACTCTTTCGTGATGGAGCAAAGAGCTTCGAATACAGCAGCAAGATTGAGATCTTAGTGATCAGTATGATGGGTCCGTAGATAATCTCCTGGAGATTCTCCCACTATTTGATTGTCGCTCTTGATTAGAGGTCTCTTCCGTCATTGACCTTCAGAGACGTCGGGTAGAAGAAATGGATCCTACCTTTCTCCATTCTGTAGCAGTTTCCAAAGGGACATCCCACATATGTAGACCGTGGCCATACTTGGCAAGATTCAACAGTAATCCCCCATATATCACCAGGCTGATCTATCAACGGAATATTGTAAGCCAACAATGAATAATGTCTCCAATGCCATGTTGTAGATCTGGCCGTACCCAGGCTATAAGACAAGTATCTGTCGACATTCTTGATTAGTACAGCCCACAAGAAGCTCAAAGATGCAGGCAAGACAGGGATCATTACAGTCCTCTACTCCTAACGGCGGCATGAACCGGGCTTTCGAATACATGCGTGCCCAAACAAACAACGTGCTTGCTGACAGGCATACTGCTTGACACACAATATTGTATCTGTGAAGGGAGACAGGATCTTGGAAATCAGGAGTGACCCCGGGAGGGGGAGGTAGGCCACCAACGATTCCTGAATTGTGATCCATGAACATAGATCTTGTGTTCGATTTGATCAAAACTTCTAGCAACCAAGTAGAAAGATGTTAAGGAAACCTCTTCTTCTTAGCATACCCTCCAACCACCGAAATTGATATATGCAGATGGGTTGGCGAGAGCCTTGCATGGCACGACTGAACGTGTAGCCTGCTCCGCGTTGTCTATCGGTGTTAAGCTTATTATACTCCACACGAACCGGAGATATATCCTAGCCTGTGTTTATCGGTATGGCACTATCTTAGGCCGGCCAGCCAGCTAGGTGCATTGATCGGAGATATAGTCGCAAAAGGAGAGGTCGACAGCCCATACGGATACGTCAGCTCGTACCCAATGAGTGGCTGATATTATTTCTAGGTGTGGGTCCTTTTGCCTGGTGTGCGTCGCAGCAATCATAATTGTAAGACTAAAATGAGCTGTTGCAGGTAAGTACCTAGGCTCTATTCGTTTGGTAACGAAGCAGATGCTTGGAAACGCATGGATGGTGTTGAAGAGGAGCGTACTTAGTAGTTGGTGGAATACTTAAGATTTGAGTTGGATACCTTGACAGCGCAAGGTTTGGGGTCTTACTTCTCGCCTAAATATCGCCTACTGTGGGATTACTCCCACAATCATGTGTTCATTTCTGGCTCAGGCATTGTGTTGGTGGTCTGTGCTTAGCGAACGTAAGCCCGAGGCCGAGACTCCCCGTTTCTGCAGTCAGCATTTGTGGCATGGATAATTCTTGAGATGCTTCTGTTAAGCACAGATGGTAAGAATTATGCCTGTCTGAACAGAGAGAATGCTCAAATTTAAGACATTTGGTTGTTGACCAGGCTGGAAAGGATCAGCTCTCTGCAATCTCGTTTATGCATTGTGAATCTGCAGCTGATGGTTAAGACCTTACGGAGTCGTGCATCAAAAGTCGTCATTATACGCTAACTAGGATGAATCAAAGCTAGCTTTTCTTATGCTAGCACAATGCTAGTAGTCAATGATGTTGTGACAATCCTCAAAGGGGGGTGGATAGCTGAAGCTTAACTGACACAGACTCTGAACCTAAAGATGACCCTAAGAGTCTACGTAGTACGTAGTAAGGAAAAAGGGTCACAGCGGCAGCTCTAGGGCTCTACCCTTGTAGCATAACTTTAAGGAGGCACTATTTGTTAGCCAGTGGTAGAGCAGTGCCAAGGCCACTATCACGTGACTCTGCATGCATACTATTTTAGCCTACTGCTCCTCCTTAGATTCTGCACACACAGAGAGTAGATAATTCAGATCCTCCACCTCATCACTATTATGCATAACTGGGTCTTTCCCGCTTCACCGTGCTTTGCTACCGTTGGGAGAGCTGGGTATTTTTGCGCTTTGTCTTCATATTTGGTCAATTGCTTGGTCATGTATTTCTACCATGCCTTCAGTCCTTTCCTTTCTCCGGCCTCCTGGAATCTATTATCACTGGATTCGTTCTCTGTAATCCACGAGATGTAACCCAGTTGATGAAAGACTGGGGTCATCTACCAGAGGCGAGAGTGGCGGCAAACCCAAGGGGGCACACTGTCCATAACATTCGGCTTCACGGCTTTGAAAAAGGAGATCAAGCCTCCAGAAGCTATCTTAGTCTTCTACTGTCCAACGGGTTACAAAGCAGATTGCTGGAAACAACCCAAGTACCCCAAGAATTTCAAAAATCCGTACCTGGAGAGAAACGATCTTCTAGAAGGCGTCCAAGATAGCCCTATCACAAGCTATAATATCGGCCTGAGAAAATGCGCAGCTGGTGGTTAGATGTCACTCTCTGACCCTCGGTCCCGAATCGTGCTGCACATGAATTGGACCGGCCAGGCGCTTCCTGTTCCTCTCAATGGGCTACCCAGCAAGTAAGAAGTCACTAGAGAGGTGGGCCCCAAAAGACTTGGCCCAAGATTCCACAGCCATCCCTAGAGAATGTTATTGCCATCTCCTCCTACACCCAGGTTGTGCGCGGGAGTCACCATACGCCGACATACCTGATTTCATGGCACTAGCGCCGATTTGATCCCCGTGGTACCAGATGTAACGGACGTATTCCGCGTGTGTCGATAAGCGAGTACCATTGGGACTGGAAATCGTGAAGGATGCGGTGCATCTTTTTGATCTCTATCGCGATCATGGTGAAAGGAGATCGCAGACTGTTCTGAGGGTTTATAAGCTCCCTTTTCCTTGGCTTGAAGATGGCCAGGGCACATCAGCTTCTTGAACGTGGTTTTCTTGACCAGGAAATTTCGTGCGGCAACATTCACATTTCGGGGATGCTGCTTTCTTTTACCTACTTATAGCTAGGTCTTGCTGTGTGTGGACATCAAATTTCTTGCAGCAGTCCCATAGATTAGTCACGCAGATGACTGAATTCTTCATCCACCGCAAAAGCATGGCCATCCAAGCATACAAGAAGCGGTGCGTGAGTGTCTGCAAAGCATCCTGGAAGTGGTCTACGAGCTCTCGATTTTGGCTATACAGTAAGTGATACATAATCCTTACCCACCAAAGCGCACAGAAATCGAGACATCCAATTGGTTGATCTGGACTCTGTGTCCCTTACGTTCAGCCTACGTAGGCTAGATCGACCGCATTTTTCGAACCACGATTTCAAAGCAATTTCTCCCAGTGCATGGGTTCCGCCCCTGTTTCAAAAGCGTGTGAGACGGACGCATCTCGTGTTGAATTTAACAGAGTCTCCTAAAGGTTCCGTCAAATGGAGTCGTTATGTCTTATTTCGATTATTGGGTAGATATCAAAAGGTGGGATTGCGAACAAGTTCAGGCGGCTTTCAGATCCCCCCTCTCCCCTTAACAGAAAATGGAATGTGGCTATTTTCAGTAAATCAGTTTGGTTATAGCCGAATTACTATGTAGGGGTTTACTCTTGTCTACTTCCTCTGCAGTGTCTCAAAGAGTCTGAAGTGGGCAAGTCAGCCAACCTCGAGATCTAGTCGACTTTGGTACCTGTTCAGTCACAATTCAATCTGCCTAGTTATTTGCAAGGAATTGTTGCTGTGCATCCATCAGGATTATTGTTCCTCCTGTTCTTGTTCTTGGGCTTTTGCTATTTCCAGGACCTATTTCAACACACCAGAGGGAATGCTTACGTAGCGAAGGGAAGGCGTATCAGAATTCACTTGCACGATCTGCACTTACGAGTCTACCCACCTCATCCCCAACATTGGAGCTTACAGCATCATCACGTAGTCTCGCATGATGGAAGTTAGTTACCGGGGAAAAGGATCTACCAACCACTCTGCCATGCATCTCTTGACAAGGGTGTTGGGATTCAATTTGTGGTGGGCAGAAAGTACCTAACATAGTAATTAAAGTTCTGAAGAGAAACGCAGCCCATTGCGCCAAGGCCCTCCGGCCCTCCCGGCCCTCACCACCAAAAGTACAGCGCTAACGGGTTTCGAAGCACCCTTGATTTTCAAGTTATTCCTTATCACCGAGATCTACCAGGCAGTACGTCCTAGTAGATCTAAGATCCTTACTTCTTTCAGACTTGGACGTCAGGAAGAGCCATTACTAGTATAGGATCGGGCATGCATAGTAAGTAATGTCGGTGGGGCGCCAAGTCAGCTAGCACACTACTTTCTTGATACGCCATCTCGATCGAGCAGATTTTGTACGTTTGAAGATCCGTTTCTAGCGCAGTACGAATCTTTCTAGTACCCCACCTACATTACCTATGCCTGATATCATAGTACGTCGCATTCACTAGCGGCTGGGAGTGTATTTCTGGTCGCTATCGAATCCCTGCTCTTGGACCCTTGGACTTTGTGTCAAAGTGTTCATTTTCAACACAAAGTACGTACAGGGCAGAAAGGCAGTTTGTTGTATGATCAGCATAAAGCAGAGCAAGGATGGCGAACCGTTATCTTCCGGGTGTGAGTAGATCAGCACCGGTGATTTCTAGGTTTATCATGTGTTCGAATTCACACTGTACGTTGATCGCAACTGTGGTATCAGGGAATGGTGAGGATGAAGTCTATCAAAGCAGCTACTTCAAGGGTACCAGAACACTCACTCTCAAAACCAGAGCATCGGTTTGCATTTCTTGAGCAATATTGAGTGCATTTACTATGCTGCTAATGAGGTCTGCATACGACATACAAGCGTCAGTCGATCAAGAGGCTAGCCAATTGCGAAGACAGGATCGCACGGAAGCTGCGCTTCACGGTGGTTGTGGAAGGCAGAAAAGCTGGGACAGTCCTCTCGCTTACGCCATTCCACCATTGACCCTGACCACTTGGCCAGAAATCCAAGGAGCGCTGCTCAGAAACACGATCGTCTGCGCTACCTCATCAGGAGTCCCGATCCTGTTGTGGGGGCTGAAACCAGCAGCCATCTTGAGCACCTGCTCACTCTTGCCCTTGTAGAAGAGTTCTGTGCCGGTAGGGCCAGGGGCGACGGCGTTGACGAAGATGGCTTTCTTGCCGAGATCCTTGCAGAGCACGCGAGTCATCTGCTCGATGGCGCCTTTGGTTGCGTTGTAGAGCAGGTATGGTGGACCGACGGTGGATGCAGTTGTTAGAGTGGTGGAAAGAAAGATGATGTGAGAGCCTGCGCGCATATGAGGCACGGCTTTCTATGCGCACATTAGTAATTAGTTTCTTTTCCCTATTGGGGGAAGCAGTCTAGCGGATGAATATCATACTTGGCAGAGGAAGTAAGGACCCTTGACGTTCAAGGCAAAAGTGCGATCGAAATCTTCTGCGGTCGTATGCTCAAGGTCCTTCATGGGCAAGACACCTGCATTGAGGATAAGAATGTCAATCTTGCCGAAATGTTCCAATGTCTTCCGAACAAGAGACTCGACGCCGCTTATGGTGCTGACGTCTGCCTTGACAGCAACGGCTTTCTTGTTGCCCACAGTTTTGATTACCTGATTAGCAGCTGCGTCATCTGTGGAGTAGTTGACAACAACCGAGGCGCCGCCCGCGGCAAGCGAGAGAGCAGTGGATTTTCCAATGCCCTTGGAGGCACCGGTGACGATGGCGACCTTGCCGGCAAGGGAATTCATTCTAGGAGCGAAATTACAGAAAGGTAGAGGCTTAGTGCTGTTAACCTCGAAATGGAAAGATGGTGTTGTAAGGCAGAAGGTACGTGCAAGGGAATAATGTGAACTCAACTTCAAGAAGACGGAAAACAAATGATACCGAGTTTGGATGGTGAGAGGTTTTGTATAGCAGCTTTGAGGAGATTCAGATCCGGCCAACGCAGGTTATGCGTTGATTATTTGGCGATATGACATTACACGTCTCCACAAGTAAACAGGGACAGCAGTTTCATTGCTGCAGCCCTCAGACAAAAGTGTGACGATCCGTCGAAGCAAGTATGTACAGAAAAGGGACACATCGACCACTCCGCCAAAAGGACAGGCGCCGATGGGTTTCGAACCACAGTTAATTGATGTACCCCTCACTGACTTGTACTACACAACTTTTTGGCTCCGCAGTCACGCGATTTTGCTAGCTCTACCTCATTCGTTGACCTGCCAACGTGGTCTAGCCGCAGCAATCCTTGATATCGGCATCCTTTCGGTGCTAAGTTACTTGAGAGGCCAACTTTGCTGGGTGGATGAGCTCACGGAGAAAAGGGATATATCAACCACTCCACCAAAAGGACAGCACTTGTGGGTTTCGAACCACACTTAATTGATGTATCCCCACTGACTCACGGTTGAGATCTTGTCTTTACCAATCCACTCGGACCTTGACAGCCTGCAGGAGCTGCCGATTGCCACTAGTTCTATTCCGAGCCGTTTACATTCCCGATTGTAACAGCTGAGAACCGCCTCAGAACCAACAAGGATTAATCCCATATCTCCGTCCCAATTCTAAATATATTCCGAGGTGTCAAAAGCTAGGCAGCAATTGAGATTTCAAATTCTGTACTCCGTACAAGGCAGAATTTGTATAATATGTAATACCATTATTTTGAAGTGTAAAGTGGGAACGGAGAATAGCGACCCTAAAACCGTTGCAAATGGGGGTTTGGTGCAAAAAGGAGCTGGCTAAGTTAAGGATGGTCATAGCCTACATTGAAGTGTCTGCCCGGCTAACTTGGGACCTTCGGACATTACAGTACTAGTGCCATTCAGCCCAACATTACGACGTTGCTTATCCCAAGAATCTTTTTCCAAGTACTACGTAAAGGTCGAGATAACGTAACATTACACCAATGGAACGCAAAACCTCGGGTAGGAGCCCTATGTAGTAGATCCTATCTAGAGCATAAGCACTTAGAAGTGCCTTATTCAGCAAGCTTCGTGTGACCACAGTGTGGGTGCCTGATGCTCAAGAGATTAGCTGTTCATGCTACTTGTTTTGGTCTGCTTTAGTAGTCCATATTTGCGTTGTGAGACCTCTAACAACTTGAAAGAGAAATAAGCTCCCAATTCGTAAGTATTAAGAAGTCTGCCGCACAAAATTCCTTCCGTATCGAGAAATGGAAATCCAACTCAGAAAAGGTTTACAGTAACTCTTAGTAAAGTGATTGACTAACAGGATGCGAGCCCTCGAAGCAATCGGCAGGAGCAGGCCCCAATATTGTTTATCCCGGCACGATGGACACCCACGTGTCTTCCGCTGCATCCATGCCGCTAGTTATACCAGAAGTTCAAGTTTTTCTGGAGGTCCGGGCCTAGTCGATCCTTTAAAACAGGAAATTCAGGAACGCCCAGACTGGTAGCGTCATCCAAACTAGCAAAGACCCACATCGGTCAGCATAGCTGTGCAGAGCTATACGTACTAAATTAGTATGTCAACAGCGTATGAAAGGAAAGAAAGCTGAATTCTTAGCAGACCGAATGCAAGAGGCTACATATCATTGCACCGACATCGATCTCATTGACTATAAGCATCAATAGCTTACACAAGCTTTCTTGACACCTTCAGCCTCTTATTCTGTCAGAATCTGCAGTACTACGCTAAGGCTATGTTGGGACACATTGCAGATCAGACCACGTGCCGAGGTCGCGCCAGATTGTGCTAAGCCTGGAGCGGAGATGACGATCAAAACAACCAGGCTTCAGCCGTAGACTCGGCCTTTCGTTCAGCACCATACTACGTGCAAGAGATATTTGTTGAATTTATTAGCTAACTATCTGCAAATCACCATCTAGGAACGGCTCGATCTTACGATACAGGGGTCGATACCTTTCGGAAGGCTTTCCAGTCACCAACTGCCCGGGTAGCGAATCCTCGTATTTGCTGACCTCTGTGGCTGATTCTCCTTGGGGGCGATGTTGGTATGTCTTCACCGACGCGGTTCGAGTGTAAAATTCCCTGGAGCTTGGAAATCTGCTAGTTTTAGTAACTTGTAATCGGTGCACGCTTCGTGTTCTTCTCCCAATATCAATATCGATTGTCCCGTGAGTACTCGTCGCCTTTTCTCCGTCGCATTGATATCTCGCTCTATCTTCTTCGCTCGCCTGTCTTTCCATCCTGCTCCACGCTTTTGCTGCACTCCTGGCCCGTGCATCGTCTAACTTGGCCGTGGTATACCCTCCATGGGTTTAATAGCAGCCGTCATAAGTGCTCTGCTGGCGTATATAACAGTTACGACTTCAGCGCCAACGCGAAACTTCGAGAGGACTGCCCACAATGTGCAACTTGTCTCATCCTTTGGGATACCCGGGAGGAACTACACTTTCGACTATCTTGTAATTGGTGGAGGACAGGCTGGTCTGACAATTGCAGCCAGGTTGGCTGCGAACTCCTCACTTCAGATAGGCGTTGTTGAGGCGGGTACCTTCTCAGAACTCACCAATGGCAACCTGAGTCAAGTTCCAGCCACTGCGGCGGTTTATGTCGCTAAGGACGTCAACGACTGGCAACCTGGCATTGACTGGGGTTTTATCACAGCTCCTCAACAGGTAACTTCTCTTCTTATCCTGGCATAAATCTGTGATTGAACATTCCAGGGTGTCCTCAATGCCTCTGTACATTATCCTCGCGGCAAATGTTTAGGAGGCAATTCCGAGCGCAACTATATGATATGTAAGTTAGAAAGGACAAGTCAAATGTTGGCACTACTGATTCGAGAGTCTCCAGATCATATCGGCTCTGCAGGCTCATATCAGATGTGGGCTGATCAGGTTGGGGATGACAGCTACCGCTTCGAGAACTTCCTCCCGTACTTCCAGAAGAGTCAGAAATTCACGCCTCCGGACCAGAGCAGGCGGCCGGCAAATGCTACGCCAAGATACGACCCATCTGTACTTGGCAGAGATGGACCATTGTCTGTCATATACCCCAACTACGCTGGAGCGTTTGGCACTTGGATCGAAAGAGGCTTTGCAGCTGTTGGTATCAGGCCCATCGATGGCTTCCAAAGTGGCAAGCTCATCGGATCTGGACATCCCCTTACCACTATTAACTATGACCGAAACGTCAGAGAATCCTCCGAAACGGCATTCTTAGAACCCGAACTGGGCGAACAAGATCCCAATTTGATAGTCTTTCCATCGACCATGGCTAAGAGGATCATTTTCGATTCAGATAGGAAAGCTACCGGTGTCGAAGTTGACACAGGCGGGCTAAAGTATGTTTTGAATGCGGGAAGGGAGGTCATTGTGTCCGCCGGCAGTTTCCAGTCGCCTCAATTGCTGATGGTCTCTGGCGTGGGTCCCGCGGAGACCTTGAACGAGCATGGAATCGATGTTATATCAGATCTGCCGGGAGTAGGGCAGAATATGGAAGTATGTATCTTTCCTTTGGGGTGAATTTCAAGACCTTCCGTGAACAGGTTACAAGCCATACAACACGAGCTAACCTGATCCAGGATCATATTCTGTTCGGAACAACTTATCGAGTCAATCTGGTGACGGGCTCAGCTATGGCTAATCCTCAGTATGCAAGTGAAGCAATCCAGCAATTCAGGCAGGGCTTTGGGCCTCTCACCAGCATCGGTGCCGACATGTTCGGTAAGTTACTCGGCAATAACCCTTCTTCCCTCTCCGCAGCAGCAGAATGTTAACATTGCCATCCGAAGGTTGGGAAAAGTTACCTCGAAACACGTCAAACTTCTCCGCCAATGCCCTGACGGACCTCGCAACATTCGCTGAAGACTGGCCGGAGGTCGAATATCTTACCCCAGGTGGCTATGTTGGGAACTCGACTGTCTTAGGGGAGGGCTTTCCAAAAGATGCGTACAACTATGCCGGCGTTGCGGCCGGTATGGTGGCGCCGCTCTCACGCGGCACTGTCAGCATCATTTCCAACGATACCTCAGATCTGCCGATCATCAATCCTAATTGGCTCAGTCATCCGACAGACAGGGCCGTTGCTATCGCATCATTTAAGCGCACGCGAGAGATTTGGGAATCAGAGGTTATGCGGGAGATCACCATCGGAGAAGAGTATTTTCCTGGTAGAGCGTTGGTCAGCACGGATGAAGAGATTTTGCGATATATTCAGACCAGTTTCGATACCATCTTTCACGCTGCGTGTACGTGTAAGATGGGGAGGACGGGTGATCCGAACGCCGTCGTTGATACGAAAGCAAGGGTGTTTGGGGTTCAGGGTCTGCGCGTTGTGGACGCATCGGCCATGCCGCTGCTGCCGCCTGGTCATCCGATGGCTACGATATGTAAGTTTTTTTCTATTCTCATTGGGAAATATCGAGACACATTTGCTTACAGTGATGATAACAGATGCGCTTGCAGAGAAGATTGCGGATGACATTCTTAATGGAAGGTAATTTGGGCACGAGAAGAGAGCTGCATGGATGGGTATATACGACTTGTTCTTTTTCCTTTATATAATCCGTCACTTATATGATCCTTCTCTTCACGGTTCAGGTGATTCACCATCTTGTTCGTTGTTGGTATATCCTTGGAGTACATCATGGTCTGGTTAGTGCTGAACTTGAAATAATTTCTGTTATGTCAGGCTGTACTTTGGTAACCTGTCTCACTTGGCGGCCTCTCGTTTGTATCTTAGTGTATATACAGAGAATAAACAAAAGGTTGTATGTTTCTCATTGTGTTAGAGCGTGCTCTATAGCTCCTGTCGTTCGACCAGAAGGAGAGAAAAAATAAGGTATCATGTCATGGAATATAACCACTTAGAAACCTTTAGCATTCCATACTTTTATCGTTTTATTAAATGAATATCTCAGTTATGAGAAGTATTATACTTATACTTACATCAAATCATGGGGTTGGATTTTCGAACTCTAGCAAAGCAATACCTGTCAAACACTTTGAGAATCTCACCGTGCGCTTTATCTGGTATGGATGGCAACGTCTTTATGCAGACACTGGATGTGGTTTGAGCGAACTGACAGGACAGGCCAAGAAAGCTCGAGCATCTTTCATCAATACTGTACCACTAGGACACGGGCGGGTGCGCAAGGACTCGTAGTCATCCAAAGGCTCCACGTTAGAGCTATCAGGGGCTAGCCCACCATCCTCTTCGTCTTTCCTCTACAGCCTCGATCCAAAGGACCGGACAGTGTAAAGTCTCGATCTATAGGAATCTGATTCTTTCAGGAAGAAATCACAGGATTGTGATTGGCTTGGAGATAAGGTGTAGCGTCCATCCGGTAACCGCACAACAATCTGTACATACTCAGCCGGTGAAACTTGATCCAGGGACCTCCTGCCGACCCGGTTGCATCGCATCCTTTAGATGAAGGCGTGATACGAACGCTCCACCGCTGTGATAGATGCCCAAGTTGCTGCAGCACATGTCCCAGAGCGAAGCAGGGCTCTCTGACTTGCCCGACGGGTCTCGATTTAGTTTTGGCCAGCACGAGGCGCACCTTCACAATATCCTTCTCGAGCTCCTCTCTCGTTGGCTCTGGAGCTGGCATGCACGTCAGAGTTATCGCATAACATACACGAGGATGTTCAGGGTAACTGAGCGAGATGTCTGAACAAATGTCTCATCGGCTAGTCTATGTATTCTTCACCCCTTCTGGTATGCCATTGTGAAAAGCCTGGGGCTTCTCCGGATTCGTCTCGAGGAGCTCCTTCAAGCCCGGCTCGGTATGTGCGCCCAGATGGAACGCCGAGTTGTTGTAGTCCTTGGGGCTCTTTCAGCCCGTCTTCCTGAGAAACTCGGGCAGCGCGTACGCGCCTTTCCCTACCGCGTTGTAGAATTTTTTTGAACATGTCGAGACCTTTCGGTTCCACGAAGCCGCGTAACAGTGGGTTGTGGGGTAGAGTTCTTTTCCTGCCTGGGAGAAAATGTGAGAGAGGACGACGGCGCGCATGACGCGAGAAGACAACGATCTTGCCGGCTTCGACGGCCAACGCGGTATCGCTGGCACTGATGCTTAAGCCTTTGGCAGACGGGACGACGGCAGAGATAGTCAGCCATCAGGCGATTCGGATGGCAGCATTCTGTATGAGTGTGGTCGTGGTGAGTAGATTGGCTCTGAAAATACTCTGTAAATTGACCAACAAACGCAGGCGGATAGCATGGATGAGGTAGGTTATCCTCAAGCGCAACGGAGCCCCAAACACAACATCTTGCCTGGAGATGCCTCGAAACTTTAACTAAATTCAATCAAGATTGATAATTTCTCTTTCTCTTTTGGTGGTAACACCATTGAGTCTACAGCTTTGAATCTTGATCAAACATGTGGAGCACATCTCTACTATCATTTCACCTTGTTTTCATCGCATTAAAAGCAATGCTATCTTCATGCAGACTTTCTGAAAATCCTTGATTTTGGTTGGTTGACAATTCGCGTTGATGGTTTGTTACATTTGAGGATGACATACGTCATACGTAGATCAACTGGCCAATATGACGCAAAGGATGCATCGACCACCAGGCTGAAGGACAGCGCTGGTGAATGTCCAATCATACCTGGTGGATGAATCCTTCCCGGCAATACGTGCCAATACGCGGCGCTTGACAGGGGCATCACCCAAAATTGTCCCATACGAGAAAGTGGCTTGGCGCTTCGGGCCGCGGGCTTTGGCTTTGACGACTCACATCGGCCACTCCACCCAAAGAACAGTGCTAATGCATTTCGAACCACCAACTTGACTGATGTATCTCTTTTGGCAGATTCAGCTCCCGCACCAAAAAGGCAAGCTGATATACACCAGGTACCCGTACCCAACCCTACACGTACATCGTGTAGTATGCAGTGGCTAGGGCCACATGACGGCTCCCGAAGCTTCCGCAAGACGATTTCCGACTCTCCGAAACCGCAACTTGGCAAATAGCATTTCGCTCTTACAGATACATGACACTTTCGCAGATAGGTCCAAATTGGTACAGTGGTCACACTCCAGGTTTGAGCTAGAAAGTTAGGTACGTACCCGCTACAGTAAATCGATTACACCTACAGCCCTCAGATATTAGACTCTGGGCGAAGGCAGAAAGGTTATTCTACTATCTGGCTACAGAATGTTCCTGGCTAAGTCGATATCTAGACCAGAAACACTCTACTGTTTCATCTGCTGCCATGACTACCTTGAGCCAGCTCGAAACATACACCAACGACCTCACCGTCGCTGCCAAAGCCCTGGCTGACCGGTATCGGGATGCTGGTGTTGGCTCCACTCCCCACCTGGCAGTCCCCAGCGACGCGTCGAGTCAGGTGCATCGCGCGAGACGTGATGTCCTCGCCATCGTGGGCCGCCTTCAGACTTTGCTGGCCGAGCCGGCCGAGTTCATCCAGCATCTTGCTAGCCAGGTGCGCTTCCCCTCTCACTTTGGTGCCAAGCCGCGTTTAATCATGTCGTACAGAATCAACTCCTCGCGTGTCTGCAATGGCTGGGCGAATTTCAGGTGCTTGCGTATGTCCCGCTCAGTGGCACCGTCCCTGCCAAAGACGTCGCCGACCTGGCCGGCGTGCCAGAGACACAGCTGTGCAGGATTGTGCGCATGACGGCGACAGCGGGCTTTCTCCACGAGCCCCAGCCCGGCCATATCGCGCACACGGCCCTATCGGCGCCTTTTGTCACCAAACTCTCTTATTTGGACGCCGCCATGTTCCTCGCCGAAACCGCTGCCCCCATAGCCTTGCAGATGGCCGCAGCCACGCAGCGCCATGGAGACTCAAATCGCCCAAACGAGAGTGCCTATGCCCTCGCCTTCAACACCTCGCAGACGTTCCAATCAGCATGTGAGCAACGAACGAAATTACAGCGCCAATGGTCCGCCTATCTTCGGTGTGCGGACACAGGTGATAGCTTTACAGAGCTTCTCAGCCGGCTAGACTGGCGCAGCCTAGGCAACGCATGCATAGTCGACGTGAGTCTCGTTGCCTTCCAAAAACTTCATGTTAGCCTACCAAGTCTACAACTAACGCTGCGATTCCACATCCACAGGTGGGTGCTCACTCCACGGAAACGGCCACGGCTCTTGCAGAGCGCTATCCAGCGCTCCACTTCATCGTTCAGATGAGCGAGCCGGCATTGGCCAACGGTGCGATGGAAGTAGGGAAAGCGAAGGAAACCAGCCTCCGGATTACAGTACAGGAACGGGCACCTGGAGCGCTGCAAACCGTCAGGGATGCCGCCGTGTACATCCTTCGTCTACCCGCGCCCTCACCAGGGGTCCCATCCCACGCTCTCTCCACGAGAATTCTCGCCGAATTACGGGCACATCTTGGCTTGCTTCGCGCAAACACTTCAGTCACGCTGATCTTGGTGCCGCGCCTGCTGCCGGAGCCAGGAACTGTTGACCCGGACGTCGAGGCCACGGCGCGTCTGCGCGACCTCTCCCGGCTCCAACTAGCTAACGAACGCGAAATGGAGATGGAGGAGCTGGTGGCAATAGTGAACAGCGTTCACGACAGCATGGGCTGGCTGGTCGTGGTCAATAAGCTTCGCTCGCATGACAGCGCCACGGTAGCTCTGGGCGTGAAGTATCAAGCCTACGCAGATACGCATCATGAAGCAGAGTCAACGATAATGTGATGAGGTATCTGATCATCTATGTAACAAGTATCCTGTCACTTTAAGAGATCTTAGCTTTTCTTGGAATACTGGTGAGAGGTACGATTGAAATGGCAAAATTTCTTAATGTATTGATAAAGTATTCGTTGATGATGGAAGTTGTCAAACAAATGACTAACATTGGAGGTAACTCAATTATATCAGAACAGTTTTTTTATTATAATTTCAAAGAGTATGGGAAAAAGTAAAATATTTTTTCTGTTCTACAAATATTTCTATTGTGAAAAAATCTTTTAATCTATCTGCAGACTGTTGAAGATACTGTCATTTAAAATATTCAGAATTGATAGAGCTCATCAAGACATCTTTTCTATGTCCATATACGTACTTGGCTAATTATGCTTGCGGATATACAGGACAGTTTTCCTAGAACGTGTGTAGCCTAGATAATTCTAATCCTACTCTCTTCCTACTTGAGGGGGGTGGTTGGGGGAGAGGGAATTAAACGGCCAAGGCTTACGCACTACAGAACAGGAGCCTTAAGCATAATGATGTTAGGATCCTGCAGATGAAGCAATTTGAGACGGCAAGGCCCGCGTGTACTCACCTCAGGAGAGCAAGTAGATATCCATTTAGTCGTAGCCTCATCGCTTCCTACGGGAGCTGAGTCTGCCCACACCTTTCCTTTGGGTTTCCTACCGATCCTACTGGCAGGAGATAGCAGACAGGAGGCGGACACATGACATCTAGTAGGCAAAGACAGCTCCTACAACGGACATAGAGAAGAGAAGCATTTTGCAAGGGCTGTGTATCAGTAAATCCTGGAATCCGCATGTTCGCTTGTGAGGAGATCTAGCCATGGAAAATGGACGTGCTGCAGAAAGTTCCTGGTCGAGCTTTAGAGATGCTGAGCGCTAGAGATGCTAAGCGATACCACGCAACAGTTCGTATCTTTCACGGTGAGTCAACGAAAGCAACAGGGTGGGCAATACGTGCTAAGATCGTTTCAGAAGCGCTGGGGGGTGGATTTGGCCACGGGCGCCACGTATCCCTCCCTCCTTGTAGAGGACTACTAGTGGGTAGTAAGATTCTCTTATTGGGTTAAGGCAACCTGCCAAGAATAACCCTCAGCTTCCCACGTAAAACTAGGAGTACGTCGCCGGCGCGGAACATCAAGAGGAATCCAACATTGCGCCATTGCGCCATTCATCAAGCCACCACGCGTTATTTACGAAGTCTTCATCGGACATAAGACTCTAACAATCAAATCCCGGCAGACGAACGAGTGCTATCCGCCTGCTGAAGCCAGGGAAAGGCAGAGAATAGAACACTACTAAGCGAAAACTAGGCAAACTATAAACTAGCAATTCTTCTGCGCCGTAAGGGTCAGTGATCAAACATTTACAGAGGTTCCAATGTTCCATTGCATTTGGGATACAAGCAATTGTTTTGTCGCGCGGCTTTAGCGTACTACCCCTCTGTCCTGGCGTTAGTACTACGCACATGGCATGGGGCCCTTGGCACCTGCGGAGTTATTCCATCCGAACCTTGGATTTAGATCCTAGCTACATACCCATCCCAATTCAAGCACTGATACTGCTCCACAATGGCCAGGAGTAGAAAGGCACGACAGACCGTTACCAATCGCCCCTTTGCCCATCCAAGCGGGAACTCCAATGCATAAAAAGTACGAGTTCGAGTTCGAGGGATAGATTTCCAGAGGCGACTAGTGGCTACTACGTAGTACGTAGTGACAGATACCACGTTACTATGGCGGGAGGGGGCCTTGAAGAACGATTAGCTCTCTGCTACTAAAATGCTCACAAAACGCCTTGCTTTTGTGAGCCCTAGTCAGCCCCGGACATCTCCGTGGTAACATGTCTGATGTGAAGCTGTAGCGGTAGCTTGTGAGTTATATCTGTGGCCTTGAAAGCCTTGAGCTAATGTCCTTGAGTGGTCAAGCAGTTTACTACGTAGATCCAGTCAATCAGGCCCAGGAAGGATTAGGGTGGCGTTTCTATGCTACGTCACACAGCATCATACCTAATATTACTTCAGGGCCCCCCTCGTCATCTTCGATACGTGCTGCAGATCGATGTGCGACCCGTAAGGCGGTATGAAATACCGTAATATGCAGCTGTAAGCCAGCCGCTACCCTCCCTGCAACAGGCCCTGCAAATGACCCCTGCCATAGAAGCACACTCGCTAAGGCCACCCTGCATCTGCCAGTTTGGATTATGTAAACAATCAGTTGTGTATGGACGGCCTTTTACGCAGGGATATGGGCTGCAGGAATATATCCACGATGAGGAACGCTTTCTGCTCACTGAAGGCTTTATCTCTTGCCCTCAAGATGCCTGGGAGTCTACTTTGAGTCTGTCTGTTTGTCCCTTGGGTCTGTCTATCTCTTACCATCACCACCTCCTCCATAATACTATTTCAAGTTGACCACCATGGCCGCATTGCATTCTCCTCCTAGATTACCCACCCCTTCCTCCACTGCCAGTCGTCGTTCCGCGGCTCCTCCGGGACCCAAATTGCGAGACAGCTGCCACGCCTGTGCATCCTCCAAGTTAAAGTGTTACAAGGAAAAACCAACGTGCTCTCGTTGCGCAAAACGTGGCCTCACCTGCGAGTACGTTGCTACAAAACGTGGGGGCCGCAAGCACGACAATCGATCGAGCATCAACAGCAACCGCAACAGCACAAGCAACAGCACCAGCAACAGCAACAGCAACAGCAACAGCAACAGCAATACTCCTCCTGCTACCCCAGCTACCAAAAATGTGACCCAGGCTGTGCCGCCATTAAACGGCTGGTTTACCCCCAACTCCACGATCTCGAACGCAGATCCTCCGCCTTCACCAGGCATTATCCATCCATCTCCTAAACCGACCACGTCTGGCGGTTCTGCAAACCTCTTCCCGAATCTCCTCCCCCCCGTGGACCAGTCCCTGGCTTCTGCCTTTACAGACCTGACCACCGACCTCGACGACTTTTTTGCCTCGCCTATATCCTTGTCCCTGCCCGATACATCCGATACCGATATCCTGGGCCCGCCACACTTCTTTCCAACAGGCGTTGACAGCAGCAGCAATGGTTCCACAAACCTTTTCGATACCTTCCCCCTATTCGAAGACGCCATCTCGGAGTTCTTCGCCCCCACTTCCAACCCCCGCTCTCCCCCAAATAGCCGCGCGTCCCCCACGAGCGACGCACAAAGCTATCAAGACACCCACGTAAATGACTCGCCCTGCTTCTGCCTGCTCCGAGCCCTTGGCCTCATGAAGCAACTCTTCCCCAACCCCTCAACCGCTTGCATGACCTCGGCTACACAAGGCCTCAACAAATCCAGCAGCCTTCCGACAATTCAAGATGTGATCGCCCAAAACGCGCAAACCATCGAAGCGGTAAGCGCGATGCTGCACTGCTCCTGCTCGCAGGACGCCTACCTGCTCACCATCATTTCGCTCATCGTGTTCAAAGTGCTAGGCTGGTACGCTGCTGCGGCGCGCAAAGCCCCATCCTCCGGCGACGGCAACCGCAGCATGCAGAGCCCGTGCATATCCCTCTCACGCAGCTCGTCGCACTTGGAGGAGGTGCTCCAGGACTCCGCCGGGCGAGGACTCAGCGCGCATGGCAGCGCAGCTTGTTCTTAGCGAGCTGCACCGCGTGCAGCGCCTTGTCAACCAGCTATCAAGGAAGCTAAAGGTACAGACGGCCAAAAATGGCGGGTTGGCAGATACGCCGAATAGTTTGGGCTACGAGAGTGCGGATAGCGAGATGACATTACCGCTTTCGGCACTGGTGTTGGATCAGTTAGAGGTGGATTTAAGGAAGCGACTTAAGTCCCTATCCTTTGAGATTGTGGAGGGGTTGAGGAGGGGGTGAGGGGTTTATTTTTAGATGGGTAAAAGAGCGTTCACTTGGGACGAATTTTGGGACAGGAATAGATTCTATACCAGCCATGGCAACTGCAACGATTTATCCAGCCTTACATATGTAAAATATATACTCTACCTTTGGCTCCAGTTACTGAATCATGAATTGTTTTGCATTCCTTCCGTTTTACTTATTTTAATAAAAGATGAGATGAGAACCGGTCGGAAAACTGACCTCAGGCAACCGCAAGACACAGACCAGGTTCGAGTACTTGTCGACTCTCTACACGAGATTCGGGTATCCTGCTGGCCGATTTTCCGCTGGTCTCCCCTTCTTCGCCGGTATTCGCTCTCAATTACCGCCTGCATGTGGGCATGAAGACTGATTCCGATGCATTTAAAAAGCGGAAGCCGACCGCCCTACTCTTTCGGAAGTGTGCGGGAAAGCCTACTGACTGTACCTTGCATAGCTAGCCTCTCAAACAGTTATTTGTGGTCGGTGCAATGATATAATAGTGGCAGGTGGTATATATTCTTTTTGCCGCACCTAAGAATCACCAAAGCTTTATTTTTGGACGCAATCGTTTTCAGTTCTAGATTTCTCAGCACCTATTCTCTCCCCTAGCAAAATGGCCCCATACATCCCCTACCGCCTTGACGGAAAAGTCGCCCTCGTCACCGGCTCAGGCCGTGGTATCGGCGCCGCCATGGCGGTCGAACTCGGCCGCTGCGGCGCCAAAGTCGCCATCAACTACGCCAATTCGCGGGAATCGGCCGAGAAAGTCGTCGATGAGATCAAGGGCCTGGGGTCCGACGCGGCGGCCTTCCAAGCCGACGTCAGACAGGTCGCACAGACGACCAAGCTGATGGATGATGTGGTGAAGCATTTCGGCGGCCTCGATATCGTGTGCAGCAATTCAGGAGTCGTGAGTTTTGGCCATTTTGGCGATGTGACCGAGGTATGTGCGCGGGATCAAAACGGCCTGTACAAACAAGCGACGGGATCGGAAAACTAACGATGGGTCCGTCAATAGGAGGAGTTCGACCGCGTCTTCAGCATCAACACGCGCGGCCAGTTCTTTGTCGCGCGTGAGGCCTACCGCCACCTCAACGAGGGTGGCCGTATCATCCTCATGTCATCCAATACGGCCAAGGACTTCAGTGTGCCGAGGCACTCGCTGTACTCGGGCTCCAAGGGCGCCATCGAGTCGTTCGTGCGCGTCATGTCCAAGGACGCTGGGCAGAAGAAGATCACGGTGAATGCGGTTGCGCCAGGCGGCACGGTCACGGACATGTTCCATGAAGTCTCGCAGCATTACATCCCGAATGGTGAGAAGTATACCGCGGAAGAACGACAGCAGGTGAGTTTGCGTGGCTGGCATTGAGCGGGCGAAAGACGACTGACGCAGGGTTAGATGGCGGCGCATGCTTCGCCCTTAACTCGGAACGGGTACCCGGTGGATATCGCGCGCGTTGTTTGCTTCTTGGCCAGCAAGGAGGCTGAATGGGTTAATGGCAAGATCATAACCATCGACGGCGGTGCGGCCTAAACTGTCCATTGAATCTTCTTTGCGCCGGAGTTTCGCATCCAGTACGTGCAAATAAGCAGAATAGATTGAAATGCGTTTGTAAAGGTGGAGAAGCCATAATCAAAATACCATTCTTGTAGTGCAAGATATGAATATATGTCAGAGCCACACTACTATATACTTTTCAATCTCCTTGAGAGAACATATTCGATGTTGAAATTGAGTGTCACAATAATCAGTGTAGACATGTCTCTGAGGAGCCAGATCCGGTACTTACTTGAAAAGATATGCTCCATCAAAGTTGGGTAAGAAACTTATCATTGAATATTTTCCTATAATTATTTATTAAAGTAAGTATATTCTAAATGATGTAATATGAAATACAATCACTCGTTAGAAATCATCAAATAGTGAAAATTCAATAAGTCTAATCAATATGGACCCTTCTTTCTGCCCACATTCTTAGCGCGATTAAATCTAATATTTAGATCTAACTTCTAAGAGATAAAGCTGGAATAGTGTCACCATTATCGTCTTCTGAGAGCTGTCTACTTTCCAAAAATATGCAATTGTTTGAAGGGCACGAAATGGATTACTATTTATCTTCTGGCAATGTGGGATATGGTATATTGGCCAAGTGTAAATCCCCCGCAACGTCCTTGAACATGGGCATCTCATAAATCTCGTTGAACCACTCCGTCAGCCGCGGATACTCTGCATGCAACACTTTATGGAATACCACAAATGCAAACACAATGGTGCCCACTGTGAAAAAGTCGGCAAGCGTCAGCTGGTCCCCAACCAGATACTTGTTCTTCTGCAAGTGGTTCTCGAGGAGCTTGCAGTCTGTGTAGAAGGCACGCAAACAGTCTTCGGTGTTCTTCCGCACAGCCAAGTGTTTGCCGATGAGAGGGAGGACGACGCCTCCGATGGCGGGCAGCAGATCCGAATTCGCCAAGGACATCCATCTGAGGATTTCATAATAGTCTCGGCGGCTGGAGCCAAGGAGGGTCGTCGTGTCGCTCTGTGATGTAACTTTTTTGGCTCGTCAGTCGGTGCGGAAAAGCCCTTCTGTGGGCGAACACGCACTGTACAGAGCGATGGCAATGCATTCGGTCATAACATGGCCATCCGCGCCTACAAAAACAGGCACTTGGCCCAAAGGGTTGATCTGGAGAAGCTTCTCATAGTTCTCCTTGTTTTCTCTCTCTGCATAGACGATATCCAATTTGAGGCCATGCGCTTTCGCGATGGCTAGGATGGCGGTTGTTCGAGGATTGGGCTGAATACGCCGTAAGGATTAGTTTTGGGACGTAATATGGCGGTTCCTCCCATGCTTACCTTGTGGGTGTAAAGCGTGCCGAACGACATCTTGAGTCAGAATTCTCCGTCGTTTTCGCTGGTTGCGGCTGATGTTTGATCGCGTAGTGTTATCTTTACTCGCTGCGATGACTGCCCTCATAATGGCTCAATTCCCGGGTTTCAATTCCCGATCCTTTGGCCCACCGTTTCTGATTACAAGATTTTCCGAGTCCCGATTCCACGATGCAAAAGGTTTTCCATTGCACAAGCTGTGGGGCATGGATCTCTCCGATGGCTGCCCGAGAGCGAGTTGACTGATTGGTCAATTTATGCTATAAATCGTTCCGGCACCTCCGGAAGGAGGCCTGAGACTGCACAGGCCAGTGACGCCTGTGCGAGCGCTCTGTGGGCCTACGTAATATGCTTGGTTAAATAGTCGGGAGACGGATAAGTTTCGTGGCCGGCCTAAGAGTCAGTGCTCTGGTGTAGTGAGATCTACTAACTGTATAAATTCTCGTACAATCAGACGCCGTGCTTCGGGGAACAGCGTAGACGACGAAGAGTAACACCGGGTTCCCATCCAGAATCTCGCTACCGACGTCGCTGTTGTCCTGTCCCAGCACCGCTTCTATTAAACGAAGCGGACGATCACCTCCAATTCGCCTGGGATTAGGCCACCTACTCAGGCGAAAAAGATCGCCTGCCTCGCTAAGCCGTCCATCAGCATGTCGACTCTCGGCGCCCAGGCCACCGCAGTGATCTCCGGGTCCTTTCTCTCTGGTACGAAGCAAAGAACATTACTGCCTGACAGCAGCGAAAGTCTAAACTAACATCTCCCCCAGGAGCCATGATGTCGCTCTCGCTCATGGCCGTGCCTGTTCTCCTCGACACCACCAACCAAGCGCCCCAGCTCTTCCACCAATGGACCCGCATGTACCATTACGGGCACCAAGTGCTGCCCACCCTGGCGGTCGGGACCTTCCTCCTCTACGGCTACACATCCATCAAGAAACGCAGTACTAAACAATCATGGGCCACTTTCGCCCTGGCGGGCATCACCACGCTAAGCATGCTGCCCTTTACGTGGATTTTCATGGTGCCGACAAACAACGAGCTGTTTCGGTTGGAGGAGTTGAGCAAGGCGGAGCCGTTGGTGAAGGGGATGGCTGAGGCGAAGGAGCTGGTGGTGAAGTGGAGCTGGTTGCATCTTACCAGGTCGTTGTTCCCTTTGATGGGGGCGGTGATGGGAACGCTAGGAACATTTGCGAAATAGGCGTAGATTTGAGAAGACTAAGACTATGCTTGGGCTCTTTCGGATTAGCGGAAATACATCCAGAAACAGCGAATTTAGTGTATTTTACGTAGTTGATTTATTCATGGATGATCTGCAGCTCGTGTTCAGCCTGTCCACTAGCGTAGGGTAAGGTGGGATCTGCACGGGGCTAGCGGGGCATGTCCGCTTCGATCTCGCCAATCTGGCCAATTTCTTCAGCTGCTTTAGGTCTAGCACAGGCCCATGTTGCACGGTTGAGCTCGGAGGTGCCATAACTGTGACGCCTTGGCGCGAGGGGGCTGTGTATTTCTTTCCGAGCTTTTATCGAGATAACAATTCCTAGCTTGTTACAATCCCAGCATTCCCACCGGATACACACAGCGTAACAGTCCTGAGTTCCGGATCTGTAAACGCCGAGAACCGGTATATCCGTATCCTTCGCTCTTGGTAAGCTTCCGGGTAACCATACTACTAGTACTACGGTATGGGACAGCGGTTACCATGGTACAGCAATTCAAGACCGTTATTGACAATCCAGCTTGGCAGTCTCAAAGACTATCTGCACACCCAAAAAGATACTGGCCACTAAGCAATGAATACATCTGTCCGGTACGGCAATTGACCCAGCGCCTGCGGGCCGGCTGGCTTCTTGTTTCCGGACTGGTATTGTGTCGTAGGCATCCTCTCTATATGTTCTATGAAAGAGGTCGAAGTGATTGGTATTCTCCAGTCGTCACGTGCCTTCATCTCTCCAGCTGTGCAGCGCCATGTCGTTCTTTCTGTTATTAGTCGTGTGTTCGTTCATGACGCCCGTCGGGGCTTTTCTTTTGTCGTTGTTATTACCGGGAAAGAAGGAGAAAGAGCATGAGGAGGCCCTCACTGAGGAGTCGGCTGAGATTGATGGAGGCGTTTGGGAGCGCTTGTCTGTGTTTGAGCACATTGAGCAAGGCTTGAAGAAGAATCCGGATGGGCCGGCTGTGATTTGCACGTTTCAGCCTGCGGATTACCTTGAGGACTTGGTACCTTGGGATGCGAAAGTTCAGCGGCCGGATTCGTTATGGCAACAGCATCAACCCAATGGCGTCCTCGAGGACCAAAACAACGACCACCAAAATGTCATGCCCAACGGTACATGCCTGATCCTTAGCTACATCCAACTCCACCGCACCGCCCTCAACCTCGCGGCCGGCCTCCTTGCCAATGGCGTCCAGCCCAACACCACTATGCTCATGCTCATCCCTAACGGCAGCGAATACGCCCTCCTCCTCTGGACCTGCATCCTGCTGCGCATTACCTACGTCAGCCTCGACCCTGCCTCGCTCGACATCTCAGGTATCACTATCCTCAAGCACACGCTGCAAACGCTCAAACCGCAGCTCGTTGTCGCGCCCGATGCTCTCAGCGGCAAGGCCCTCGACATCGCTGTATCGGAGCTGCAGCTGCCTCAGCCCATTCGCCTCTGCCTCTCCTCTCCCGGGACCCGTGGCTGGAAATCCCTCGTCGACGTATCCGCTGATGGGGCGAAAAGCCCCGTCGACGAAGCCGCCCTTGTCGCTGCCGCACGACACGACAACCCAGAGCGCATCCTCTCTGTCATATACACGTCTGGCACATCCGGTCGCCCAAAGGGCTGCCCCATGCGTGTAGCCGGCATGTCCCACGTGCTGCATTCGCAGTCCTGGCTTGTGGACTCGGAAGTCGGCGCCTTCGCCCTCCAGCAGGCGCACAACTCGCGGGGCATCGCGCCAGCGCAGACACTGCAAACCTGGCGGGCGGGCGGGGCTGTGGTGATGACGGGACAAGAGCTCAACGTCGCCGCCGCCGCCAAGGCGATTAAGCAATTTGGCGTGACCTTCATCGCGATGACGCCGCCAATGGTGCACGAAATGGCAGCGGAGCTGGCTGCCAGGCCTCTTGACGTTAGCTTTGTGAAGAAGATCCAGGTCGGCGGGGATGCCGTCACCAAGGGTGTACTGATTAAGTGTGCGGCGCTTTTCCCGCGGGCGCAGGTATGCGTGAATCATGGCATGACAGAGGGCGGCGGGTCGTTTGTGTGGCCCTTCTTCGACACGCCGGCTTCCAAAATCCCGTACTTTGGTGAGATTTGCCCCATTGGGGCGGTAGCGCCTGGTTCTGTTATTCGGATCTGGGATACAGAAAAGAAGTGCGTGGTCAGGAAGGGGGAGCTGGGAGAGCTGCACATTTTATCTGGAAGTATTATAAGGCATTACTGGGGAGGCAGGTCGGAGGAATCGTTTTACAATGATAGGAAAGGTAGGTGGTTTAACACGGGGGATATTGCCATGGTGGATAGGGATGGGCTGGTGTTCATTCTAGGCAGGAGGAAGGATATGATCAAGCGCGCGGGTGTGGGCATCATGCCCGCGGCAATCGAGAGTTCTATTGAGGCCTTCACTGGCGCGCAGGTAAGCAAGAGTTACCGTTTTTCAAATGCAGCCAACTTGCTAATTGCATGTCCGTGAAGACGATTGTAGTGCCAGCTCCACATCATGTTCTTGGTGCCGAACCATTCGCTGTGCTCGACTCATATAACGGCAAAACTGAAGCGCAAATCAAAGATCATGTCCGGGCCGCGTTGGGCAGAGATTACGCGCTTGGTGGGCTGGCGTCGTTGAAGCAGCTTGGCTTCGCCGAGTTCCCGGTTAACCTGACGCATAAGGTTATCAAGTCCGAGGTCCAGACAGCGGTGGTGAAGCATCTCGAGAGAATGACGAGAGGAGATGGTAAGGTGGAATAATAAAATTTGTTACCATGTTACTAGTAAATAAGTAATGAAAAAGAGGGGTAAGTTAGATATAGTACTGCCAGAAAAGCTGGAAACTTCATATGATAATGAAAATGAAAAATATTTAACTAATTTTATATTATTATTTTTTACTTTAGGCTGCTAGACAGAAATATATGTAATAATCAATTCCCAAATCGTGACTAATATAAAAGAGTCTAGGTGTTAAGACGAGAAGAAGAAGGAGAAGGAGAAGGACAGACTGCCATGTCAAGTTTTGTACGGAGATGTGTGTTGTTTTCGGTTGTTAGTAGAATTTCAATTATGAGTCGTGACCACAACAGGTAATAACCCGAGTTTCATGGAGCAAGTGAGTACAATCATAAACAAGCAGATATTTCTCCCGATGTTCTATGTATTAATGAGCACGCTAGGCAGGCCCCGTCGACGGCAAGTAAGGATGTAACCAGGGAAAAAGATGCCTCATCAACCCCATCAAAATACACATAGGGGTCCCTCTCGGAAATTTGGCCCCGACCCCGCGCGTCTTGTTCACCACGCCGACATTCCTCCCATCATAACGCCCCTCGTCATCATTTGCCGCCTCGATCATGCCTGCCGAGAGATCGAGATAGCTAATAAAGCTCTCCTCCTCGTCGAGCGTCAGCCTATGGCCACGCGAGATATCCGGGGACAAGCCCGCGGGCTTGATGAAGATGGTGGAGACCCAGTCGGCATGGGAGCGCAGGAACTCCTCGGTGCGCTGGAGGTCTGCGTAGACGTTCGAGGCCGAGGCGAGCAAGATGGGGCGGAGCCAAGCGGGCATGTCGCGCGAGAGGTGGTCGTCGATGGTTGCGGAGCTGAGCAGGAGCAGCTTGGGCAGCTTGACTCCCGCGCCGGATTCGGCCTTGATCTTCTGCAGCGCCTGGATCACGGCCGCGGCGCTGTCCTGGCTGAGCCGGCACCCGGGGATGTTGTCGTTGGTCGTCACCACCAGGAACACGGCTTTGGTGCCGCGCACGCAGTCGGCCAGGAGCTCGACATCGTAGATGCTGCCTTCGAACACGCGCACCTGCTTGTTGTCGACGACTTGGGGGAGCAGACGGTGCAGCTTGGCTTTGTTGCGGCAGTAGGCGTGGATCTTGTTCTGGGGTGACTGGAGGAGGTTCTGGATAATGGCGGAGCCGCAGTTACCGGTGCTGCCGAGGATGGCGTAGGTAGCCATGGTGATGTTGATAGTGATGGTGATGGTGATGGTGTTGATGCGTGAGAGTGTGGTGTTTGGTCAACGGGCCTGGCTTTTTTAAGCATACGGCCTTTCTGTAATGCATGCAACCCTGACTGACCATGACGCTTACTGCGGTGACCAGATATGCGGCAGTGTGCACATTTCGCCATGGTCGAGCTCCGACCGGATGGGGACCCGGAGAGTTCCACTGCATGTCGGAGAGCGATGTAGGTAGTGGGCAGCAACGGGCGTAGATAAACTAAATCCACTCCCGATGCATCCACTCTTCTGCGCCAGGATGAATCTGATCATCATTGATTCCACCCACGACTACGTACGGAGTACAGACGCAGTTTTGGATCCTTGAAAGTCAGGACCAGACTCTTTAATTGGGGGAGCGTCACATGATAAATCTCAACGAGGGACCTAGAAGCTAATGATTATTAGAGTCATATAATACTGAAATTAATAAATTATGTAATCATTCTATCTGTTGATGTTAAATATTATCATTTTGTTAATATTACTTTCATCAGTTTAATTATCTCAAATAATCTTGCAATAGTTTTTATTTTAAAATAGTATCATTAGTATGTAAACAATTATGATATTATTTCTAGAGGCCCCTATCTAGCATCTTTCACTACACTCAGATCTGATATGTCATGTAACCTCTTACCCACTAAACAGTGCTGCGAAACAACACTAATGTCATTCTTTTCACTGGCGGGCTCGTGCATGTCGGGATTAGCGGAAACCGACCTAAGTCCATATGCGACAATGCAGCAATTAAATACAACCCAGACGTTACCTTCTCTGAGCCCGTTCAAATCATCGATAACTCTTCACACATCCTTCTCACCGTACCTCTACAGCTGCGCGTCATGGGCTTCTTTTACAGTCAATTATTCAAACGGCTGCCCTACCCTACGGGCTCTTTCGTTGGCAAAACCATTGTTATTACTGGTAGCAATGTCGGCCTTGGAAAAGAAGCGGCGCGCCACTACGTCCGCCTGGGCGCTAGCCGGATGATCCTTGCTGTGCGTAGCTTGGAGAAGGGCCATGCTGCCAAGCAAGACATCGAAGCGTCTACCAACTGTGCAGAGGATGTCATCCAAGTCTGGCAGATTGATATGGGCAGCTACGACAGCGTGAAGCGGTTCGCCTCGCGGGTCAACTCCGAGCTGGACCGCGTCGACATCTTCCTCGCCAACGCCGGCATCGCGCGCTTCGAATACTCAACCACCGCGGACAATGAGTCACAGATCACCATCAACGTCGTCTCGACATTCTTACTGGCCGCGCTGGTCATGCCTAAGCTGAAGGCCACGGCGGCCAAGTACCACACACGGCCCACGCTCACCATCACCACCTCCGAGGTGCACGGCCACACCACGTTCCCGCAGAGACTGGCGCCTGACGGCCAGATCTTCGCCGCCATCAATGACAAGGAGACGGCGGAGAAGCACTACGAGGAGATGTATCCCATCTCCAAGCTGCTCCAGGTGTTTGGCGTGCGCTACATCGCCGACAAGCATCCCGCCTCCACGTTTCCCGTCACGGTGAATTGCGTCAATCCGGGACTGTGCCATTCGGAGCTGTCACGTGACGATCCCACCATGAAATACACCATCCTCAAGTTTGTTTTGGCACGCTCGACCGAGGTCGGTAGTAGAACACTATTTCATGCTGGAGCCCAGGGTGCGGACTCGCATGGCCAGTATTTGAGCGATTGCGAGATTGCGGAACCGGCTGCAGTGGTTACCAATGAGGAGGGTAAGAAGGCGCAGGACCGCGTGATGGCCGAGCTGGTGAAGAAGCTGGACGCGATCCAGCCGGGGGTGTGGAACAACATCTGAATAAGGGTAAATGATAATGAGAGGAGCTGTGGCTGGCGCCGGTGTATAGATAGCCGCCTTTCTCCTTTCGAGGCTTATTTTTGACTCAATGACTCTTTTTTTTACCTTTTCGGTGAAGTTCTTGTTGTGACTGTGTTGTTTGGAGGTGCTGCTGAAGCAACATCTATATTCCCTGCTCTATAATCCCTGCGACCACATTTCATCCAGCAGATTCTTCACCATCCTTAACCATCCTTGTACACCGCCTCTGTCAGCCATGACACAGACTTGTCCCTGACATAAAATCCGTATTCATGAGCTCAGCTACCACCACCGGGTGCCTGAACGCCACCCCATACTTCTCTTGCGTAAGCGCCTCGGGATCGTGCCTGATATGTTCGTATCCAAGCGAGGTCCTTCCAGACGCCAACCCCAATTCGTGTGCTCGTTTCAAGCTGCCAAACTCACCAAGCGGCTATCTCCTGCGTCCAGTCCCCGGGCTGATAGCGCAGTGGATTTAAGGCACTTGGACGTAAGGCGTGCATGGCAGGGCTCCACCCTAGTTTCAAGCAGATCGCCAGCGTGATTAGGTCGTCGGGCGCCCCTGCCGCACCATTGCCCGAAGTCGGAATGAAGCTGTGAGCCATGTCGCCACCTACACCACATGGCTCGCTTGACGAGGTCCAATCGCGGCGCAGGCCCCGTCTGGCTGATCTTCTGAAGCCTTCGAAAGGCTTTGTGATGTGGCTGCATTCTGATCGGTGATTGTTGTCTAGCGTTTTGGATCGAATGCATGCTTCCCATCTACGTCATTGACTCTGTGTTGAGTCTTGATCCCGAAGCACAAAGAGCCTCTGCGTGCGTCATAGCTTCGGCGGCAGATAAGCTCAAAAATAGTATGCGCAGAGAGCACAGCTCTGCTAGTAGGTCTCCCAAGTACGGTTGCATGCTCTGGTGTGTTTCGGCGTTAGACATCGCATCGGAATTAGAATCCTACCATGATCCTCCAGAAGAATGCTTGGGTAGGAACAGTACAGACTCTATCGGATGTCACCCTGATTGGGAGTCAGAAGTTAGACCGAAAAGCTGGGAGTTGATAAAGACACCAGTCATCCCGCTTTCAATCCAGGAAATACATGAATCCTTCTTCACGAAACATTGATAGAGAGTCAAGAACTAGACTGAAGAGCTCTGAAGTTGATAAGATACCAGTCATCTCTTCAAGTCAGGGAACAAACATCTTTCTTTACAACTCAGAGATGGAGAACGAAGCCCCCAAGAAGCATAAGGGCGGTTACAGGCAGATCAACAAGACGCTCAACATCTGCGCTTTCGAGGACTATCTGGAAGCCCAACTGTCACACCTGCCGCAAATAGCAGACATAGAGCAAATCAGCCCGCGGGTGATTCGGGTGCTGGGACAGAATGCTGGAAAGGTAAGCATTCATGGGCGTGGTTGTTAAGCAAGACCAGGCCGCTAACGATATTGCCAGTTCACGCTCCAAGGCACAAACACCTACATTGTAGGAACCGGCTCGAAAAGATTGATCATCGACACCGCCCAAGGCATCCCAGAATGGGCCAACTTGATCTCCTCGACACTCTCTAACTCCCAATTCGCCCTCTCCCACGTATTGCTCACTCACTGGCACGGTGACCATTCGGGTGGCGTCCCCGATCTCCTGCGCCTCTACCCCAACCTCTCCAAATCCATCTACAAACACAGCCCCGGCAAAACACAACAGCCTATCCTCGACCGTCAGGTCTTCAAAGTCGAAGGCGCCACCGTGCGGGCGGTGCACGCCCCCGGCCACTCGCACGACCACATGTGCTTCATTCTCGAGGAAGAGAACGCCATGTTTACTGGAGACAATATCCTGGGTCACGGTACGGCGGCGGTGGAGCAGCTTAGCACCTGGATGGATTCGTTACGCATCATGCAGAAGCACAACTGCGCGATTGGATATCCCGCCCACGGCATGGTGGTGCGCAACCTACCGGGGAAGATCAGGGGCGAGCTGGCGTCCAAGGCGAAGCGCGAGACACAGGTCTTACAGGCATTGACCAAGATCAAGAAGTCCCTAGGGCGGGGGAAGGGCAGTGTGACGGTGAAGCAGCTGGTTACGGCGATGCATGGGGACAACCTGGATGTTCAGGTTAGGGAGATGGCGATTGAGCCATTCATGGAAGAGGTGTTGAGGAAGTTGGCGGAGGATGGGAAGGTGGCGTTCGAGGTCAGGGGCGGGGAAAAGAAGTGGTTTGCCATTCAGATGATTGAATAGACTTAGACCGTATATACCCAGCGTGCATAGAGCTAGAAATTGCTATTGATATGTCCAACGACATCTTTTGATGTATTCTTGGTCCATCATCCCTAAATGTCGAGGCTGGGCTGCGGTCAAGTTGGCCAATGGGCGATGCTGCTTGGCAATCGGCCAGGAAGTTGCTACGTGATGAACAGCACCACTACTGATACTAGTTAGTAAGTTAGGCTGCTAAACCCCTGAAACAGACCAAGAAGGCTTATGTTGATTGGCATTAGAAGGGATTAGGCAGCTGGCGGGGTCGTGAACTACTACGTGGGTGGCGGGAGGATCAGCCACGTTAGCATGATCCGCTGTAACTTACAGACTACATCTGCACTCTCCAGCACGCCATCGCAGCCATTTCCGAGCCTCAATCCCAGACCCTAATCCCAGGCCCTAAAACCGCGCCTTAATCCCGGGACCAACGCACACATGCAAGAAACAATTGGTGTCGCTCTTGGCCAATCATCGATTCAGATCTACACCCCTCAAACCAATTGCCCAGTGAGAAAAAGATCCAGGGAACAAAACGAGCATCGAACAGTATTACGTAGTGCTACGTAGCTACACCAGGTCTCGGGCTCCGCCATGCCTACCAGATGGCAACATGTTTCCCCGAAGAGAGGACGGACGCGGGAATTGAATGCAATACTTGCTGGTCGTGCAGCAACCGCAACCGCAACCGCACGTCGTACTATAGTAGTGGTAAACCACAACCGCAGCCTGCAATGTAACAAACATCTTGCTTGGCATATTTTGCTTTCCCCCTCCCACCGCTCTTTCCAAAATCACCCACCCCACCTCAGCCATTCGATGAAGATACGAGGTGGTAATATCTTGCTTTTTCTCTTCACACTATTTAAAGAAATCCCATCTCGAAACAGGAAAAAAGTGCCGCCGATGTTATCGTAGCGTAGGATCATAATCTGACTGCAGAACCCATGGTCACCAAGCAAATCGGTTGCATTGCCCGGTACCCTTGCTACCATGCTGGTCCCATCTACTCCGTACATTATTGGAATTCCGTTTTCTGGATGCCTGTCATGCAAGATATTTCAAATCGACCCCATGAAGAGGTGAAAGGAACAGGTTGGGGAAAAATAAAATACAGCACAACGTTGTCTAGCATGTTATTCAGCCGACTCGACACAAACGAAAGTAAGTCGAGACCGGTCGATGATTCCTCTGCTAACAGTCCTTCATCCCATCCACCACCTCGGCATCCCTGATGAACTCTGTAATCCAACCGATGGTCATCATGCTCCTCTTGGTGTCGGCAAACTTCTCGTGGTCCCCGACCAGATGCTGCTTGTACCACGGATCCTCCTTCATGCGTTTGTAATCATCCACGCTCTTGAAGACAACCTGGCTGAAGCAGTCGAACTCGGCCAGGTTGGCCATCTGGTGATCGAATAGATGACCCATCAGAGCGCGCGTCTCGGTTGTGTTGTGGATCTTTATTTTTTTGGTTCAACTCTTAGCTAGGGTAGAGGTGTCGGAGGGGAAGGAAAGTAGATCTCACCATGGTCCACCGCTTTACGCCGTATTTCACCATCAGGCCTTTTGTCATCGGCGCTGAGACTTGTGTCATGTGATGTCTGTAGTCCTCTTCGCTCATACCGGGTCGACGGTAGCCGCAGATAGTAAGGCAGAGGAATTGACTGTGTGGATCGCCCTGAGGGGGCGCTGGGATTTCTGGAGCCTCACCCATGTTGGTAGTAAGGGAGAGCTTTGGTGGAGTAGGGTGGGAGACATCTTGGAAGGAATGGTATGTCGTGTTATTAAGAGAGCAGAGGGTGGGCCCTGGATTACTCGGCAGCCTATAGCGGCATCGTTCTGAGATCGCGAATTGTGAGGTCCGAACCCCAGGTCGATCGCCGAAGGCTTGAAGATTGGAGAGAGAAGCACAACTAAGCTAAGCTTCTCTCAGGTAGCCAGCTGCAAAGAGTCAGCGGGCAATTAGTTTGTGCGTTGAATTGAATCATTCGGCTTTTTCTACAACCATTTCCGCGTTCTACTACCTAAAGGACTTTGCCAGGCCAGTACAGGTCTCTGCGAGTAGCTTACAGACTAAAATGAAAACTAAGAACTGTGATGTAAGTTTCATTCGTGCACTGATTCCTCCCGGAAGCGGAAATTACTCCTAAAATGGCATCTTTATCGCTCAGAGCGTCTGAAAGCTTCTTCAGAAACACGAGACCCACCCTTTCTCCACGGCAATAGCGGTTGGTGTTGGGGTCGAAGGTTTTGACTGTCCGATAAAGCTGAAAAAGTTTTCGCTTCATACATTGTCCTGCACTTACGAGCTGGTGTTCGCACTTAACACGAACCGCCGGAACCCTCGAGCATTGTCCTGACGGATAGGCTTTGCAAGCAGCGTCTTATGCAACAATGAGCTACGGGCAGTGTTCTAGGCAAGGGAAGGCCCGAAACATCTGAAGTGGTAGCTAATCCTGCTGCATAAGAATGATTTCAACTCTCCTAGAGCAGAAAAGGCGGTGGGCGTTTGAGAAGAAACTCCGTCTTGGTAGTCCACTGTTGCGACCCCAAAGCAGCATACGACATCATCTGGCGACGAGTGCTCTCGGAAGTGACCCGATGACTCTACTGTCTGTTACGCTGTCTGTAGCAGCAATTTTTGCTGCAGACTCATTACAGCAGCCTCGGGCAATGACTTTTGAAGAACCAGTGATTGGAGCGATCAACGTCACGAACAAATTGCGCTCAAAAGAAGCCCCCATTCTTGTGCGACGGAAATCTCTTGTAGATTATCGGGTCTCCGGTAACCCCTCATGCATTGAAAGGCCGTCCCAAATAAATCCCAAAGCTCGTCGGTGGAGTCTGCCCCGGCGTGTTTGCAACCCATCCCAAAAAACAGCGATGGCATCAGGCGGGTAACGGGCCTTGCTCGCTTCTTGATGGCCCGTGAACTTCGAGGTTTCAATCTGCGATATGTTTAATCCGGCCCTGCGGACATTAGATATTGAAATAACATCTAAGAGCCTGAAGGTGGTGACGCCCCCATCCTCGATGTGGAAAAGCGTACTCATCGTCGATGAGATTGTACTGCGTCAGTCGGCTAGTTTGGCTAGAAGGATTGCAGCAGCAACCTCAGCCAAATGACCCTCGGAAATGAGCTCGCTATCAAATTATTCCTGAGCGGCACCACCAGCCTTCCTACTGTGGGTAGTTGCAAATTCCTCGTGGATTTGCAGAGTTGCACCACCTTTTCCAAAGAACTGTCGAGCGCCGAAGAATAAAATCTTCCTTAGAGCTCGATGGCTTAAGCTAGTAGTCCGTCCACAGCCAGGTCACCAATGATGGAAGTCTCAGCGGAATTTGGAACTGTGAAGGTAACGTTATTGTCGTCAACGACTCAACGGTGACGAAAATATATGCCTTACAGAGTCAGATATGAACAGACATCTTCTGCTAAAGCTATGTGCGGCATAGTTATACTTACCCTTTGGTAGTGGCTTAAAATCTCTGTAAACTTCTCTTTCCCCGGCGTCAGAGTTCCGCGAGACAGACCGTCTTGCCTCTGAGACGACCTTGACCTTGAACCATGTGTCAACGTAAGCGCTGATACAAAGTGAGAGTCTTGAACCCACAGCGCCAAAGATGCAGACATCCTCTTCATTGCTCGAACAGGCCACAGCCACATTAAACAAGATTCCCGCACAGAATCCTTGGATGCCGCTGGTCTGTAATTTTTCAAGCAAGTCCATGTGGACCCACGCTGCATTCTGTGCTAGCCAGATAACGAAATTTTATGTATGATGACAGTAAGAGGCGTGTATATGGTCTGGGGTGAGGGTCACCTAGACCCAACAGCATCACCTTTATCGAGCCAGTGCCCCCAGGCTTGCAGGGTTTAAGATCGGCGACACTTAAAGCAGGATCAGACTGCACAAACACAATCCAGAAATTAGGCAGATTCCTGATGGCTTGGGGTAAGGTGTAGAAAATAGGTTCGCAGAGTAATGAAGACCTCAAATGTGAGGTTTGTTGTGGATAAGGCCCATTGGTTTGCGGATGGAACACGAGAAGCGAAGGTAAAGCCATGACCTAGATAGAGATGATAGATAGTGATTGAAGAATTGTACTTACCTCTCCTTACATGGACGAACAGTCACTTTACAGTGCCGTCATCCAAAAGAAACGGAGCACAGGTGGTCTACCTCACGTGCAGAACATCAGAGCTGAAAACTGAGCGCTATCGAAGGCAACTTGCAATAAGCCCCGTCTCAACTCTTTGAATCTGGTCCCAGGTGGGTCTTCTCGTGGAGCTTCTTCTGGAGGTCCCGCTTTACGAAAGCCTTCCCACCGCTTCTCTCGGCCGCGAACGAAACTTACTCCTGAATGAGTGCCAAATTGAGCCTGAGGCGATAACGTATGAGACGTCCGTGTTTCCAATGTACGGTTGTGCCGAAGGTTAGTGGTATGATATGTAGAGAATGAATTGCGAAGATAAATGGGGAGCTATACGTCCAATATGGAGCGAACTTTAGAAAGCAACAAAGAGTAGAACCCAACGAGCACCTCCACGAAACCAAGTAGCACCAATAAGCAATATGAAGCGAACATCGAGTATTTATTCAAGAATTTATGTGCCAACCAGCATGTTGTTTCACTTGGAAAATCCGGCTTCACACCGGCGAGCAACATATGCCGCAATCAAATCCTCATCTATAACGTTCATACATCTCAAATACCAACTGGCCTTGCTTACGTTACCTGTGCCCATAATGATCTCACCATGCGCCATACGCTCGAAGTCTCCAGCAAAGAATCTAGCCAATTTCTTTGCCGGGTTTTCGTTGACTCTGTCCGGAATCGCCAGGATTGGCGAAAGCCATTTGCTATACGGCAGGAAGCCGGGTTCAGTAATCATCAACTGCGAGACCACAGGGGTGAGACCTTCATGCCATGAATGACGGATCGCGTTTTCGAGGTGCAAGGTACGTTGCTCTGAGTTGGATGCCAGAAGCAAATCTACCAAGACTTGAGTGGTGTAGTCAACAGGTATCGACGACAGCATTCAATACAGTTTAACAAGGCGCCAATAAGCTAGGACGACTTCACTAACGCAGGAAGTGTTTCGGCCAATCCTTTTCGCGCCAGTCAATTGACCAACACATACAACGACTGCATAAAACTCACTGCGGTAGTACAATCATTCTCAGACATCGTAATTTCTGGGACAATACGCTTTCTGTGCACCTCAGGATACTTGCTAACAACAGCAATGAATGATACAAAGACGAACCTTGGCCAAGCAATTGGCCGACGAGTCTGTACATACCTACAGAGGTCAAGGAGGTTCCGTAAACCCTGGCCTGGGCCTCAAAGGACGGAGGGAGCCTTTTGAATTCCATTGGACACGCGGTGTGTAGAATATGGGCCACTCGCCGTTGGACAAGCCCAAGCGAAGCGCAGTACTATTTGTCTAGATAGCTTTGATATTGGACTAAGCAGGTACACAGGAGCCCCTGGCTACAGCAGCTTGCTTGAAACGGTCCTCAGGATGGCTTGGGTCGCTGTTCGAGGACATTCGGTTAAGACAGATGACTCTGGCTACAGACGATGTATTTGCAGGGTACGCAAGCACTTGTAAGCGCAGGCAATAGGTGCTACCTGTAAGCAGGATTGTGGATTCTTCGTCCAGTGTTGCTGCGCCTGGGTCTGGTGGCTGAATCGCGTACAGATCAACATATTTCCTATCAAATCCTCGTGTTCGGTAGAGCGCTTGCCTTCAAACGAGGCTACTCAACATCACGAGTGATGGTCTTAACTCAGATAAGCTCTGATGAGCCCTCCTGTGACACGTAGACCATTGACAGTAATAACCGACGTAATTGCAATGCTTGAAAATAGTCCGTTCTCGGTTCAAAGAGATCGCGATCATGCGTCATTGTGGGGAGGAATTTGCCAATCAAGACGATCAACGATAACTTCCTTGATGCTTGCTTCTAGCTGAGTAGTATCCAAGGAAGCCATAGAGCTATTGGTGATGGATTCTTCCAGTTCTCTGTACGCCTGTAAGGATTTCTTCCCCAAAAGTTTTATAGACCTCTTTACGCAGAACTGAGCCCTTGTCTGTTCGCGGTATAGATTTGCCTTTCGGTACGATCACAATGGCTGTTCTAAATTTAAATCCGGGCATGCGCATCCATCCTCTCGTTTGCGTACTGCATAGTGGGGAAAATCTTGTTTTTGAACGAATTGTTATACTGCCGATCGATGTTCTTTATCGTTTCAACAGAATCGCAAGCTCGAACTGATTCTGTCCAAAAGTAATAACTACCTTGCACAACTCACATTCTGAAAGCAAGACCTCAAGAACGATCGGAACGACCTTCTCCGCAGTAGCAAGGCTGATCAGATCATCATTTGTCCCAATAGCGTCGAAAACCGTATCAGATCTTGTGGGGTTGCGGAACAGCTGGTGTTGTACCTCGCATGCTGCACCCCACCTGAACCGATGTGCCACCAGTTTGGGCGCCATAGTGGTTGAGAAGCATTACACTGAATGTCGCGAGGTTCTCGCTGATATATAGTTTCAGCGGAACGTCACGGAATGCGACGAACCGCAGGGCCCGTGAAGTCTTGATGCCCATACCATACTCAAGGAAAGCGATGTCTTCCAAGACAGATGGCACTGTCATCAACAAGCTTGGCTTGGCAATCTCCAGAATCCCATTCATCTCCCCGCCAGAGGAGGTGGGGGATATAGGAAGACACAGTGACGTCTCAATACCCTTTGACGGACATCATAAGTTCAACTTTAAGCACCTAGTCAACATGGAATTACCAGAAATTTGTTGGATCTCCATGAAACCCGGGTAGCATGCCTCTTAAGGGTAAGAAATCTGCTTGAACCCACATGTTAAAGAGGTAGAGTGGAACGATTAATATGCTGGGCCTCGTTTTTGCTGGAGAAGGCATGAGCAGCTGCGAGTCCGAGCAAGTACTGACGGGATTGGTAAATGGGCTTCAAAAACCCGGTTTTCCATGAAGAATGCAGGATAATAACCTGAAGGTCTGTCTTGTCGGTGTGATAGCCTGGAACCGCAGATGCTCCTCTCAGACAGGGCCGGTGCTCCATTATGTCCCCAAAGAGATCGTAGGGGTTCCTCTACACAGAGTGGGGACAGAGGTCGTCTCACTGGACTAAACCTCCTTCCTCCTGAGCCGTGTCGTATAGACGAGGAGAGGCGACCATCGACCGAGCCACGGTGGTGGCCAGGAGATGAGAGATAGCTGTGGGGCTCAGGCGGGCAGAGAGAAGGAGCACAGGTGCTCCTAGACTCATGAGGATTAACAAATGTACTCATAACCCGATATCACTCTCCATGGGCACGGCCACAGGAGGAAATTTGGTTAAGGAGTCAATCTATCTTGGTTATGGGAGTTCCAACTCGTTGACACTTTTCCGGAGCCATCCTTGACACCGAAAGACGGCATCCCTAAGCTGGCCGTGGAGACGCTTAGGAGGTGTAACGATGTGTCGCAGCGTTCGGGCCTGCTGACAAAACAGATAGTTTGGGTTATGTTTCGTATTGTATTCGACAAGATAAGAAGCATCCGGATAGAAGAGGCCTGCGCACTGGTGCTATATGTCGGGAACCAAAGCCTCGCCGGGATGAAGGAGAAAGGCTATAGCTATCAATGTTGGGATCGCAGAGTCGCAGAGTCGAACAGTTCGACATTTTGCTAGGGAACTGCCGCTCCGACCTCGTATGGATCGAGATGAGCGAACAGAGACTTGATTGAATGTACGCCGTACTGGGAACCCGGGACGATGGAAGTTGGTCTTAGAAGACCTGATAGATGATACAAGTACATATATGGCGGCAGTGACATGGTAACGAAAATGTACCGTATTCACTTGGCGTGTATCAAATGTTTTCAATATACGCTAACTAAATGAAGCACAGCTAGTTGTTCTTGTACTAGTGTTGTGCTAGTTTCTGATGGCAAAGTGCTTACCAAACAGCACAAAGGAGGGGCCCTCCAGCCTTAGAGATAACCTAGAATAGGGGCGGTAAGAAGGCACTCTAAGGATGCCATGATGTCTAGCTAAATATTCTGCTGCTTGCCACAATGAATACCTACGCATCCTCGTTGCCCCACACAAGCCGCACCAAGGCAAACCGACTTGCTCCTCGACAACATATTGCCAAGGCTTTAGAGGCCGAAAGACTGAATTTCAACCTACTATTACTAAGTAGTAGCAGTTGAATCTGAGGTAACGTTGAATCTGATGTCCCACGCCAAGCCGGGTGTCGCTATTTTCCTCTTTCTCTTTACAATACCGGGCTCCGATTGCAAATATTTTTAGCCAACACGATGTCTCTTGTCCGACCAGATTTAAATGAGATCCAGTATAGAGCTCTTCGGAGGAGTGCGATGTAATATAACCGGAACATACCAATCCCAGGCTCAGTACGCTCTTTACAAACCCTCATATAAGGCCCCTGACTTGGGTAGTTAGCAGAAGATTGACGTCTGCTACCGTCGTAGTCAGTCTTATTTTTCGACATATACTTCATCGTCTCCCAAGTCTATCATTGTGACAGCTTTGTCAGCGGCTGTGCTCAATTACAACTTCAGCGTCATGTTTCCAGCTCGCTTTGATGCCCTTTCGTGGATAGATTCTTCATATTGGGTTTCAATCCTCCTCGTTGCTCCACTGCTACTGATATCCTTTTACCTTTACAAGACCTGGGCAAAGCTACGCCATATTCCGGGCCCCTTCTTCGCTCAGTTCACCGACTTTCCACGCTTCTTGTGGGTAAGGTCACGGAAGGCGCACGAGATCCACATCGATCTCCACGCAAAATATGGCAAACTGGTTCGGTTTGGGCCGAATATGGTCTCTGTCGGAGACCCGTCAGAAATATCCAACATATACAGGATGCATACACCCCTTCTGAAGGTATGCCATACATCCGAGATAGAATTGTGATACCCGACAACGTCGCTGTTCAATGACATAGTTCCGCCGGGAAATGAGCTGTCTTTGTGATCTCAAGCCCTAAGCTATCTTCTATTGGCTTACTTGTCGTCCACAGTCAGATTTCTACCATGTCATCCTGCCCATGTCCAAAGGAAAAGTCATGCCTGGCCTCTTTGCCACTCAGGACGAGGCCCTTCACCGGACCTTAAAGAAACCGATTGCGAGCATATATTCGATGACGAACCTTGTCTCATTCGAACCATTTGTCGATTCCACCATTGGCGTCTTCTTTGAGCAGCTCGACAAACGGTTCGTCAAAACAGGAGCTGTTTGTGATTGGGATGTCTGGCTCCAATATTTTGCGGTAAGTTGAAGTTGCTAAGCATCTTAGGAGGGAAGAGAGAACTGTGCCAAGCACATTTGGATCTGGGCTCATGAGTGCTTGCTGATATGAGGATACTCCATAGTTCGATGTTGTCGGTGAGCTCACCTTCTCTCGGCGGCTAGGCTTCCTGGAACGCGCAGAGGATGTCGATGGCATCATGAGAGGCGTCTGGAAGTGGTTTGAATACGCTGCACCTGTAAGGAATACCTACTCCTGTGCCTCAAATTGCGTCAAGCAAATTATTATCCCTCCTCTTACATTCTACTAGTTCGGACAAATGCCATGGCTAGATAAGCTGTGGGTTAAGAATTCGTTCATCTCTCGGCTACGTCCAGCACGCTGGTCACCCATGGTGGAATTTGCAATGAAGAGACAGGTCGAGCGATTGAGTGCCGTAGGTAAAGAGGAGGGTCTCAACCAACGTGACTTCCTCTCGCGCTTTATCGCCGCCATGGACAAGGACCCATCGATTCCGAAATGGTAAGCTGCTCCAATCACCCACTCCATCAGTCTACCTCTTCCATTCCATTAATCACCTCTGCTTGTTGAAGGGCCCTTCCCGCTTGGACCGGATCCAATATTCTCGCTGGCAGCGACACAACAGCCATCTTCTTACGGACCCTGTTTCACAATTTACTTGCTCACCCATCGACGCTGGCCCGTCTGCGTAACGAGCTCGACGCCGCTGCCTCCTCCGGCCACCTCTCGATTCCCACAACCTGGAAAGAGAGCCTTGGCCTACCCTACTTAGACGCCTGTATAAAAGAAGCAGGGCGTATACACCCTCCTTTCGGTCTACCTCTAGAAAGGATTGTGCCTGCCGGCGGCATGACCGTCTGTGGCGAATACCTAGCGCCGGGTACCATAGTCGGCATGAACGCTTGGGTCGTACATCGTGATCAGGAGACATTTGGCAAAGACGCGGACGCGTGGCGGCCTGAGCGCTGGCTCGTGGAGGGCGAGACGAGGAAGAGAATGGAAAGCGGGTTACTCACTGTGAGATCTCTCCATCTGTTATCTCCTTACTTCCAATGCTAACAGCTCGTGCGCGCCCGTCTTAGTTTGGTGGTGGCCACAGAACATGTCTAGGAAAGAACATCTCCCATCTGGAAATTTACAAGGTCGTCCCAACTATTCTGCAAGTATATGACGTAAGCTCTAACCTCTTGTTCCCTTGGAATCTGGCAGCCACTAATAACGACCTGCTTTCGCTATACAGATCGAGCTCATGAAAAACTCACAAGTCTTGCACATTGAAAACCGATTTTTCGTGCCGCAAAGTGGCTTCCAAGTTCGGTTAAAGAAAAGGGCTTCTGAAAAGCATTCAAAAAATTGATCGAGTTGAAGTTGGAGTGTTTATGAAGCACCAGGATAGAACTGTAAAATTTCTTTGTCCGCGAGGATTGAGGTGCTATTTCGCTTTCGCTATAAGACCATATTTTGAGGTGAGGGGGAAGAGGAGAAACGAGTCACTCGACATTTACTGCTGTTTCCATTCTACTCAGAATAGAGAAGGTCTACTCTTTTAGGAAGGTCAAGGGTGAGTATGAGATATAAAATTACAAATAGGGGTTCGTCACGCCCGAGGAAGAAATTATCCTCTAACACAGTTTTCTTTTTCTACATACAGAGAGCGTGTGGCCTCACACAGCTCTGACCAGTTTACCACACTCGTGATTCCTCTGCTTATATCATTATATCAACTTGTGTATTTATTAATAATATCTAAAAGTTAAATGACACAGTGTATTTTGACATACCCTGCTGCCTTGTACGGCGAACTATTATTGGGTTGACGACACATCAGAATTTTGAATCTCAAAATCAGGTTTAAGCCAGCAACAGGGTTATATTATTCTGTTTGAGGGCCTTACTCTCTAGGGGGCACCCTCTTGGGGCAACCTCTTGGGGAGGCACCCTATATTTGCTAGCTAATACTTAGAACATACCATCAGATATATCTTCTTATGTCTATAGTAACTTGAGTTCTTAGTCTTCTGTAACATTATGATTATGTAACTGTAGTTCACAAGAGGAATGTTGATATATACTGTAAGAACAGACTTGCATGGCCCTCGTAATAACTTGAAACTGAAATTTTGATGTGTCGTCAACTCAATAATAGTCCGCCGTACCCTTGGCAAGCTAATGCCCTGTTAACCAATACAGTCAATTTCCGATGCCGAATGGATCTGCCAGAAGACATTCCGCTCTAAGTCATCCTTAACGGCTTCTGACATCGCCCTGACTAGTATGTCTGGCTGCGCCGGCAGATTTCATCATTTATGCGCCGGCGTCAGCACGTTCCCGGAAGAAATGGCGGCGGGGCTGTCTTGTAATTTGTGGCGGCCAAGGGATGCCAGTAGTGTTGCTTCTTCAAAGGGTAGCTGTGCGAATGCAGTCTAGTGGGCGCTGCTCGCCGCCCCGAAGCCCGATGTTTCTGGAAATACGTAATATGGTCTTTCTCTTCCCGTGGGTCTTCTTCTCGCTGATTACTTCAGTTCTACATCCCGAACTCCGATACCCTGGCCACTGTAAAACCTCGAATAGCGTGTGTATAAAATACAATCCTCCGTACCTGCAATGATACTAAGATTCCACCACTCAAACCAACCTCACGCGTACTATATAGAGAAGCCAGTGTACAACTCCTTACCATATCTGTTACCCTTTGATGCTCTACCCCACCTGGCCTGTGAAAATTCCCTACCACTCAATCATTCGCCTTACTCTAAACTAGCAAAATGTCTCTGACGGCAACACAAACAGCGACCTCCCAAATCCGCCTCTCCCCAGAACACGTTGGCATTATTCGCGGGGCAGGTGATATTCCTTCCGGCTCTTTGGAAACTGCGAATCGTCTCTTGCAGCGGAATCACGATGAGCATCACATTTTCTGGCGTGATTTTGCTGGTCACAATCATACCGTGCACAACGTTTTAACTTCATTAGCGTTGGGAGCGACACCAGCGGAGTTGCAGTCTGCGTTTGAGGATAATTTGCCCGGACAACGACCGCTGCCGCCTGTTAATGAGGAGGTTATTCGCTCTTTTCATGATGAGGCGAAGTTTTATGAGAAGATCGGGGACCAGACGCACTATACCAACTATCTGATATTTTTCGAAAGGCTCATTGAGGAACGAGGTTGGAAGGACGTCATCAATGAGTACTGCTTCTCCCGCTCGAGAGTCGCGGATGCGATGTTGATTCGTATGTTTGACGGCGCATTTCACTCCATTATCCACTTAGGTCTCGGCATCGAATTCGAGCAAGCCTCAATTATAGCAGAGGGTCTCGCACAAGCTGCGGTGCATGATCACCTAGGCACAGACCCGTTCTTCCTCGACGCAGAGAAGTTGGCCAACGAGTCTGCATATGAAAAGCACAACCTAGTCGACCTGCTCAAGGAAGTCCGCGCCAACGAGACCATTCGTACAGCAGCGCACTGGGATGACTTCGCCGTCATGAAGATGAAAGTGGGCGTCTTGGGTCGCTCATTGAAAGAGATGACACAGCTCGCTGCCAAATTTCGCGTTGCTCGCGAAGAGGTTGAAGAGAGGACCGCAGAGATGATTAGCTGTTGTGCATATCTGGCCGGTGCAGGCCAAAGAGAAGGGAAAGAGCGCAAGATTGACTTCTTCTACATGCATGACGTCACTTCTTCCATCTTCCTGACCGTCCTGATGAGGCAGCCCTGGATCAGCATAGAGGACAAGGCAAGATGTGTCGAGTGGAAGTGCCGTCTCGACTTAGTTTGGTACGCCAGTTGTGGCACCCCCGAGCTCGACGTACGCAACATCTCTGAGTATAAAGGAGGGCCGGCCGATGGTATGGACTGGGATGCCCTCTACAAGGCTATCAATGCTATGCATGATGATGGGCACGTCGCTAAATTTGTGCGTGCACTGAAGAATGGGGAGGAAGTGAGTCAGCCGTTCGAGAAGGACAATGCAGCGTTTCCAGTAAAGGGGGATTCCTGGTTGAGGTTGGCGAGAATGGCGTATAATGCCACTGTGGGTAGGGTGCACGAAGATAAGTGGGTTGCCTTCGTAGGCTTTGATCAGGCTTGGGAAAAGGTGCCTGCGTTGGGTGCTTGAGCCACCTGGACAACAACTGTGTTGGAGATTGTGATTAGTTACAGGAGATTTAGTGGATGTGCATTTAGCAACCGTTACACATTTTTAAATCTCAACTCCTGAAGCATTGTTCTTCATGACATCCTCTACATACTTGTACGTCTGACTCATGGCAGCTGACATAGGACTGTGAGGAGCGGGTGATAGTTTCAGAGAGAATATGGGCGATGCATAACGTGAGGAGTACTTATAAGGTGTAAACGTGGACAATTTCAAAACATATAAAGCCAGTGGCCTGAAGAGAGTTCTTTTTTGGATGGCTCTGATGCAATAAACCGACCCCTGACTTTGTAAACTCGAGACGAGACACTCGTAATGTTATCAATTCGGAATTTTTCTGCTCGCGCGAATGTTTACAAGCAGCTTGAAAATTATGGACTCTATTTCTAGGAAGTCCGCGTTGTTACACGCAACAAGAAGCATCAATTCGCAACATCCTCCAAGAACTTCTCCAGGATTGGAATGAATTCAGCAGGCTTCTCCCAAAGAGGGCAATGCTGACCACCCTCAATCTCAACACACTTGCCACTCCAAAGGTTGCCGTATTTGAGTGACTTTATCATTGAGTTATCGAGATGCGGCTCATCGGTTCCGATGACAACTGCCGTGGGCACGCTCGTATTCTCAACCAACTTCTGCTGGTCGGAGCAGTCCCCGAACCCGAGATTGGAGAACAAAACCCTGCGCGACTTTGGATCTGTACGTATCGCCGCCTCGGCCATCCATTCCTCGAAAGGGCCACCGGTTCCACCTTTCGCAAACATTGTGAGGTCCTCCTTACTCAGGTCCTCGCGCATATTCCATTTAGTCCGCGCGTCGTCCAGGGGGGCGTCGCGGAGCGCGACAAGTAGCGAGCCGATGATCATGAGACCTTTCATGCCCTTGAACAGCGGGAGCATCTCGACACCGATGTGCCCGCCGAGGGACCAGCCCACGAATACAACCTCGTCGATGTTGAGCTGCTGCAACACCTCGACAGCAGCCTTTGCGTAGGCGGGCATCGTGTAAGTACGCTCGGGGTCTTCGGCGTTGCTAGACTCGCCATGGCCGGGCAGATCGAGCGCGAGGACGCGACGGGTGGAGGGGATCTTGCTTTCTAAAACGGGTTTGAAGATACGGCTGCTTGAGGAGTTGCCGTGGACGAGCAGTAACGGTGTTCCATCTCCCGAGCCTACCGAGCGAAGGGCGAGTCGGCCATAGCTGGTGTCGACGTGGATGAGCTCTTGTTGATCTGACATGCTTGCGGTTTTGACTCTTGCTTGCTTGTGAGTAAAACATTGTAAGGCAGTTATGTTGCTTATGTAGATTCACAGACGAGATGCTTCTCGGAATCCGAAATGATAACTATTCACTCATGACGGGCCACTTCGTGGTTCACAGATCGGTGATAACTAACCCTTCGCGGCAATGACAATAAACAGCCCGAAGTTCATTTGGCTGGGCCACTGTGACACCTGATTGCTTGCTTGCTTGCTTGCTTACTCACCTAGTACCAGCTACAGTGCCAATACAGTACTTACGGAATTTGATCAGCCATCCGGATTCCGAACACGGCTCTTAGCCTCGGAACTCTTCTACGGATACAACGGGGGATGTCAACCCTTTTTCTGCATAATTGTCTCTGATGCGCTTCTGTTCGACTGAGATCACGCAAACGAGAACACGTCTTCTGAAATCTGCATTCATAGATCGCGTTCATCATTTCTATCGAGGACAAAGATTTCTGAAAAATGGCCACCTACGCCGTCTTTGGTGCCACCGGGAAATGTGGCAGCTCACTCATTGAAGTGCTCCTCCAGTCTCCGGACACCAAGATTCACGCCTACTGCCGCAATGCGGCAAAGCTCACACGCATGATGCCCGAAGCCCTGGAGACCAAACGTGTACAAATCTTCGAAGGTCAAATCGATAATGTTGACCAGTTTCTCAACTGCATTCGCGGCTGTAAAGCCGTCTTCCTTGCTATTTCTATGAACGATAATCTGCCCGGCTGTCGTGTTGCCCAGGATACGACTACCACCCTCTTGTCTGCTTTGGGAAGACTCAGAATAGAGATAAAAGCGCACATAGAATTACCAAGGATTGTCGTGTTATCTTCCGCTAGTCTCGAGAAAAAGCTTTGCCACAATCTGCCAGCGTGGTTTCATTGGGTCATATTCCGGTCCAATTCTAACATCTTCGAGGATTTAAGAGTGCAAGAACGAATGTTGCGCGCTGAGCAAGACTGGCTTTCGACTATCTTCATCAAACCCGGCGGCTTGACTTCTGACAAGCAGAGGGGTCACAAGCTCGATTTAGACGTGCAGGAGACCTTCGTCTCATATCTTGACTTAGCTGCGGCGATGGTCGAAGCGGCTGATGACCCTGACAATCGCTACAATATGAAGGATGTTAGCGTGCACAACATCGGAGGAAGTGCAAAAGTACCATTAACATTACCACTTTTGGTCCTTTTCGGCGTCCTGAGGCATTTCTTCCCATGGTTACATCCATATCTCCCTCTCTTGGGATGATAGCGCACATCAAGAGCCAGATCGTTAATTTAGCCAACATTCAGAACGGACACATTTTGGCTTGCGAGGAAATATTATTGGTAGTCGAATGGCATAGCGGGCTACGGCTGCGACGAATTCTGCTCTTGGGGCGTCCTGGTTCCGCTTGGAGCAGAATTGTAATGCAGCTGATACCGGTTCTTTGAAGAGTTGGGGTTCATGAGGACTGGAGGCGAAAATGCACTAGATTTGAATTTTGTACCTTGTCCAGCACATTTCAAAAGCACATCCACCTGTGACTACTTCTTTAGATCTTCAGAGAGGTGCCCGGCCTGAAGAAGTTGGTCCACTCCATCGCCCTTCCCTCTTCGATCACAATGCGCAGCTACCTGAAAAATGGCCGCAGGCCTAGAGAAGTACAACGACAAGGTTGATATCTCTGAACAGCCTGAAAATTGCGACACGCGACATCGCTCCCCTCGAGTGGTCCACAAGAGTCTACTTGGACCAGTGCACTGCGTGAAGCTCTGTTTCTCAAGTCCAAACAACAGCAAAAAGCATTTTCGACAACACGATATGAATGCATAAGTTGCTTGCTATTGATGCAGATTGTTTCTTCATCCAAGTGTTCTTATAGCTTAACAGGCTATTGTTAGAAATGTTTCATTCATGGGAGCTCTTGGTTTCAAATTGGGCCAGTCGTCTTCAATGTCTAGCTGTTTGTAGCCACGTTCTCTTTGAGCTGCGATCTACCCAGTTTACTGGCTGGGCAACGGGCGCCATGCCTGAAGACCAGGCTGGATAGATAATTTACAGCAGTTCGTAATGGCTGAAGGCGTGAAATTCAATGCTGTGGATGTGCCGAGCGCTGCATGTGCAATCTGCAGCTACTAGTAGTAGTACGGTACTTTGAAGTTAAGATCAAGATTACCTTCTGACCGTCTCCTGAATACGAGTGTGGTCCAAGCGGCGACCAGAACCGGGCGTTAGTTTAGGCCGAAGTGACGTCACAAGCCCCGGGAGTCGTCTGCAGATGGAGCGGGTGACTAGCATTACCCCGAAACCCACAGCAACGTAGCCTCATTTATGCCATCCTTCTTACTTGGTACAGATCCCGGTGCAACTTGGATCGGCACTGGTCATACTAGGTAGTATGAACTTGAAACCGTTTTTGTCACCCTCAGTAGCCGGAGAGCGAGGGAGGGAGCAGAGAGCGAATCAGGACCCTGGATCTTAGGGGATGTGCGGAACGGATATGCTATAATATAATCTTGGAATGAAGGAGAAACTCCGGGCACCCCACCAGTACCTGAGCCATAAAATCCATTATGTACAAGCACAAGTTTTTAACCTTAGGGGCCCCTTTCATAATCAAGTCCTCTGCATCTTGATGAAGGTGATGAATCATGTTTGTGGTCCCAGGTCAGGTCTGAGGAGGTGCTTAAGCTATTCTTGCGTTGGACGGGAGACGCAGGAACTTTTCGGCACGTGCTGAAAGAAGAAGAATAAGGAGAGAAAGGAGAAGGAAAAGGGGCCAGGGAGATTCCTTGAGATTATGGAGATGTGATGGGCATTTCCATCTCGCAGTACTGCTCCTTGCCTCGGGCTGTCTTTTTCCTAAGATTGTCCTTTCCCCGGAAGAGGAAATACCTAAAAAGGAGGTTTCAAACGCAGTCCTCGGCATCATGAACGACTCCTGTTCTAAATTCAAAAGGACGGCTTTACCACTACGCTCTCAATCTCTTACATCTCCTTTAACCTCCTGGTCTTTCCCCACTGGTCCCTTTTCGTCCTCCTTTTCTTTCCTTTCCTCCTATTCCTGACTTTCCTTCTGCCTTCTCTTTTCGAGCGCAATGTTTGTTCTCGCCTGGGTAGAACCCCATACCATGTGGCATTGCCAGAGCTCTGTATTCTTTGCCATCTTCAACCTTGTTATTTTTACCAGCAATCTCCACGCATAACTCTTTTTCCAGGTTGTTTGGTCGCCTTTGTGGCGTCGATCCATCTTCCAGTGCCCTCCGGGCACAGCTGCTTGGGGAAGATTAGCTTTCGTACCTATTAATGAAGAAAGAGGGAAGAAGCCAATGTTGATCTCATCAAGTGAGATATCACGTACGCAACCAATTTTGCTTCTTGATGAAACCTTCGCTCCAGTTCACATCTAGCCTGCTCCAATTCCTTGTCAAGTTCTTTCTCCTTTTGCTTTGCTTCTTTGGTGGCTTTGGTCATTACAGGGTCAAGCTTCATCACTTCTGGCAGAAGTCAGCTTACGTCTTGCACAACCTTTCTTGAGAACAAGGTGATGGTAACGGAGGCAAACGAGGGACGTACCATCAGGTCTGAGGGGGTATCCTCCGAGGTAAAGCTCTGCCGCGGCTCTGGTAATCTCGTCTTCCATTCTCATTTTCCATTTTAGATTTTCCTTTCTTCTACGTACCACGTCATTGTAGATGCTTTGGGCATTGGGATCTATTGCTTTCGGGGCCATTCCGCAGGCAATACAGAAGCTGAATGCTGGGTTTGATCGTATATTCTTGTTCCTTTGAAGGCGAAGTTGGCAAAGGAGCAATATGGTTTAAGAGCGAAGTTCTCTCGAGTGAGGTTTCCAGACAGGGTTTGTGAGATTAAGGAGAAGGAAACTGAATCATATCTACATATGTGGACGTTTCAAATCCGTTAGCGAGGAGCCCATAACCCTCTGACATTTTCACTTGAGAGATCGAGACAGATCCGGTGCTAACACAATGCTGAAGTATCTAGTAACAGTATAGTACGGAGTCGTGCATCAGAAGTGGTTGACCCCCCTGATTGGTGTGGCACTTTAGCGTTTCTTAGCTTAAGTATAGGCTGACCCAGCAACTAATAGTATAAGCAGCCAGCATGTGTAGATTAGTCACTAGGTAGTGCTTATTCATAGCCATCTACATTACTGATAAGACGTAAACCCTATATCGCAAGCCTTATTATCCCTAATCTTAGTACTGAAGACCTATTAAGTCTTAGGTCGTTAAAGAGGTTAATTCTCTTCTAAGCTCAAGATGGTTAGCTGTTCAGTCACACCCTAGCGGCAGTCAACTAGTTTTGACACACGGCTCTGTAAACATTATGAAACAGAGTGTGCAGCATTACTCGGTGGATAAATGTTAGTGGAGACGAGCTCAGCTAGGATGGTTTGAAGTCGACAAAGGCGTGTATCAAAAGCGGTGCAAATACAAACGCTAGGAATTGGTGCCAATATTTAGGCAATGCTCCCTAAGTCAGCCCATTGTTAAGCTGCTCCGGACAGTGGTCGACTTTTAGGGTGGGGAGAGGGTGCTCTTTGGGAGGGATGCGCTAGGTACGGATCACGTGATCATACGGTGCGGCGGCAAAGACCATCAGAAACAGCGGCTGATGTCCCAGAATCTAGAGTTGTGCTGTAGTACTCCGTACTGAAGTTGAAGCAGACTGTATTGGCACGTGAAGTACATTATCGTTCGGGAACCTCAATACAAAGCTCACACTCTTCGTAATTTTAGATCCTTTCAATTACATCTTACTGAACAACATGGCACTTCTTGTCAGTCAATCTGATCCGTCAAGCACCCTGCAGCTTTCGCAAAGAGCTCCATTACTGCTCTCAACAGCAACACCTGCGAGTCACTTTTTCCCTCTCACACTGCTCGAGAAGCCCGAGACCCCAGCTACGTGGACCGACTATGAAAGACTGTTCCAGGCATGCCTCAGAGCAGGCGATGACAAGTCGGCGCACCTTTGCCTCGAAAGATTGACGACGAGGTTCGGCGCATCAGATAGCAGGGTCATGGGCTTGCGTGGAATGTACCAGGAAGCGATTGCTACCAGTACGGAAGATCTGGAGAGGGTCTTGCGGTCATACGAGAAGATACTGCGGGCTGATCCAATGAATGTGGTTGGCCACCCTATCCTGGCGCGAAAACTACTTGCTGATATCTGCAGCCAATACTCAAGAGGAGAATAGCTATCAAAAAATCGTTGGCACGGCCTCAGGAAGCCATTAGTGCCCTAGTGGAATTTCTCGAGTCAAATGCAACAGATGCAGAGGCGTGGTGTGAGGTGGCTGATCTGTATCACTCTCAAGGCATGAATGCACAGGCACTATTCAGCATCGAAGAAGCGCTATTGATTGCGCCCAACGCATGGAATGTGAGAGAAAATGGTTGTCATGCCTTGGTGACGTTCACTGACCACAACAGCTGCACGCCCGCATGGGCGAACTCGAGTATAGTAGCGTTGCTGCAGGGACGGAGAGCGCGCAAGCAACCCAGAAACTACTAGCGGATGCAGTCCGAAGGTTTTCAAGGAGCATCGAGCTTTGCGACGGCTACTTACGTGGCTATTATGGTCTGAAAATTGTAGGTGAGGACAACATTCAGCTTGAACGCATCTGATTCCACACTCTAGGCAAGCCACAGATTGCTGGAGAACCTGGATACGTCGACTTCGTCCACACTATCAGACATCCCTCCACGCAATGTCATCAGCCAGCTTCATGATCTTGCGGTTAAGAAGCTAGAGCATATCATCGACACCCGCAGCACACAAATAGTGCACTCAGACTCAGCCCGTGCCGAATTGATTGCAGCTCAGGAGCTACTGGACCGGTCTCGTTGAGTAGTAGGGCTGCAGAAACCTCCTTTCAATTACCATTTGAGCCAGAGGCCTGGGCGCATACCGCACCATCAGAAATGCTCACAGGAGGTAGCCAGGCTCCTGATCAATCAGAACAATGCAATCAATGCCCAAACTCGACTTGAGATTTAAGCGTCTAAATCGGTGTTCTCGAGCCCGCCCTTGACCAATATCATGCGGCGTTGGGCATCAACACTGCAAGTGACGTGGCATACCCGACGCCAGCAAGCCTCTAAGGGAATGCCAGGAGACCGAACCTCAATCCTGCCTAGCATCGGTTAGTCAGAGGAAGGATTGTGGTACCCAAAGGCAAGACAAGAGTGATGAATAGCAGCCAACTGTTATTTTCGGTGGTCAATGATGGGCTATAGAAAGCTGACCTTGCTGCCGTTAGGCTAAGAGCCTCATGCCAGATCTCTACGAAGCCTGAATTAGAAGTGTGACTCACTAGAAGTAGTCCGGAAACAATGTGCGTCCGGGCGAATGCAATATGTATTGGGCGTTGCCCACGCTGTCCCAAGTGAAGGCTGCATCCTTCTTCCCATGTCCACGTGCATACATGTTAAAAACCACCGAGCGCCATTTTAAGGTAGAGCAGGATTATTTCCTGCATCAATCGTGAACCCTTAGCCCTAATGCTTACTCCATCTCACCGTGTCCGGCAACGACGAAAAGCTTCCCGGAAGAAGTCCGAGCCTTAGAAGCGCCTTTGGAGCTTGTGTCCTGTTGCGTCACCCGGCCTCACCAACCAGAAGGGAGTGGATTCTTGCATCGCCAACCCACCGATCACCTGCGCATCTCCTTCCGCCTCCTTCACACCCATAGGCTCCTCAACCAGGCGGGTCACATTTGAGCCCAAGCTCTTCCAGAACGTTCTGCCAGGCAAACTCAAACCTTGTGGATCATTTTGAGATAGTTTCCTCAGTATCAGGTTGTGGTGCAGGAGCAAGGCGTGCATCAGAACCTACGTGGGTGAGCGATCCCAGTTGAGAGGCGTTGCTGCTGCATCATTTGTCACCACACTGCGCCATGTATAATGTTTCTCGTACCAGCTTCACGTGAAATTTGATTACTACGGCTCGCCTCGCTGTGTCATTTGAGATAGCCGCAGGTCTAAAGCAATTGATGGATGCTGGTTTGATCCTGCAAATATTCTGCTTTTTGGTCGTTCTCATGAATTTGTTCCTAAATGACTGAAGCTGACCGTCAGTGATTGACAGCAGACCTAGCCAGCTCATCGTCCACACACTTCACCCCTCGAATTTCCGATATCGGCTCCCAGCTCGACCGACGTGAAACCTACCTGGGTGAAAAAAAGCTGTGGGTCATTAGAAGACCAAGAAGGGAGGAGACGCTGTGCCATATAGTACTCAAAAAAGAGGCACTTCGTAACGCAAAATCGATAGTGACTACCACTTGCAGGGGGTCGTGGCCGTGACCACTCCCTAACCACTAGACCGACGCACTGCCAAATTCCGCAATCTATTGCAGGGCCAATTCTACCCCTCCACACATTCCTCCATCCACCATCATCCGGCGCAAGGCCGCACAAGCTGGCCACGCTGAGCGCATCATCCAACACAGGACGGCGACAGCTACCGCTCCTTTCGGTTACGATATATCATTCCGCCGGAGTGGGACCGTACCAAGGCTCGGCAACCGCACAATCACCTCCATCAGCCCACTACGCTGTCGATTCTAGTTTTTATGCGAAGATTGCCGGCTTCACCCTGACCGTCATCCTTCTGGCCAGTTATCGCTGAGCAACAGCGTTTGCTCTAAAAGAATCAATCGAGATCAGTTGTCTGGTCAGTCGTCCCTCGCAGCCAACGCAAACTCCTTGCGAACACTTTCCACTGTGGGACATTGTCTGTTGCATCCCTTGGCTAGAGCGCAATTACGTGCTATACTCTGCTCCACCCTCAACATCTTTTGTCCTTTTTTTCCCCTACTGAAGTGACGTTGCCTGGGCAATAGGCGATTTTGCCCATATCTTACCCATGCCGTAGGTACCTTCAGCTTCCAGCTTCAATTGGATTACACCGCTTGCAGTACTCTTATATCGCCTGTCACTAATAATGATGTCTAGGCTCGAAAACACGATTGACAATCCTGAGCTCAACGAACCTGCGACTGAATTGGACGGAGAGGGCTCTATTGGTGGCGTTCATAATTCTCCAGACTACAACAGTAGTCTTAGTTCGACATCGGAACACCGAGACGATTACGTTCACGTCGACTTGCCCTACCCAAGCGAGATCCCTGACGATATCCATCCATCTGATTCTGCGTCAGAGTCTCGGCCACGTTCACATCGTCGACATACCACTACTTCATCGCGAGCTCATCCTCGGCCGCGCCCTCAACCACAGCGGCAAGATTTGGAACCCGCCGGATACAGGCATCGAGATCCACCGCCTGATTCACCCGAAAGCGTGGACTCTGCCGAGGATTACGTTGGGGGGCCCCCATACCGGCCTAATCCCCCCCCGCGGCCAGTCTACTATGGCGGCGGGCATGGACCACACTTACCTCTTCCATACGCGCCCAGCAACTCATCAGGTGCCTCCTACCCGCCTGTACCTGGCCCCCCATCGAATCAGATGGTACATTATGGGGCGGCTGCCCCGGCGCCGTACGGTCCGCACTACCCGCCAATGGGTGTACCTCCACCCGCAGGATATCCCCCGCCAGCCCAGCCTTACCCAATGAGCCACCATTCCGGTTCCCATGTCGGCTCTCCTCCCTTTGGGGTGCCGCCACCATTCGCTGGCCAGCCGATGATGCCTTATGCGCCGGCGCCGGGGTATTTTCCACCCCAATATCCAGCTGTCTTCGCACAACCCCCGCCATGGGATCCTTATCAACGCTTCCGTCAATCACCTGCTCCTCCTCCTCCGAATCCTCCTCCTCCGCCTGCGCCTGCGCCTGCGCCTGCGCAACCGCCACCAGCACCAGCGCCGCAGCAACGTGTGCTTCTCCCACCACCTCCACTGTCTCGAATAATGTTGACCAAGAAGAGATTGTCAAACGGGTGGAAGCAATGCTCTTGGAGGAGAAGAAAGAGCGTGAAGCACGAGAGGCGGCGCGAGAGGCGG